GCCCTACCTGGTCCTGCTCCAGTATACGTGTGAGGAGCCCTGCATGCCGAATGACGAGTTACTCAGAAATCAATGCAAATTGGTATCGCCTTGGATTGACATTCTGCTACTTTCCTCCAAGGCTGTTTTTTTTTTTTTATTCATTCTCTTCCACCCGAGCAGCAGCATTGAGTAATCTGAGGTTCCATGGTGTAATGGTTAGCACTCTGGACTCTGAATCCAGCGATCCGAGTTCAAATCTCGCTGGGACCTGGGTTTTTGCCAGCACTGCACAAAAAAAGCTGGAATATCATGCTAGTCCCTTAAAGGCCGGAGAATGGCAGTTCCTCTGGCCATTCTCGGAGAGTGAGAAGAAAGTGGCTGGTTAGAGCGTGGTGCTAATAATGCCAAGGTCGCGGGTTCGAGCTCCGTATTGGCCAAACTTTCACTCTCTTAGGAGTCAGATGCATTTTGGGGCTCTGCTCGGTCTCACAGAGATCAATGCAGCAGGAAGTACATGTTATGGCAGCCGAAATAGCTCAGTTGGGAGAGCGTTAGACTGAAGATCTAAAGGTCCCTGGTTCGATCCCGGGTTTCGGCAAAGCAGTGTTATAGTTCTGTTTTGGACACAAGGAGCAGGTGACCGAAACTCACCCAAAAAGCCTAGCAGCTTCACCCTTAAGTGCACCTGCTTCCACTTGACCAAAACGCTATCCTTTCTTCCAGATGGCCACGTCGCTTCTGGTGATGATTCCAATGGCCTGATCGACAGCACTCTGCTATATATTTAGCGCTTTGATGTCCCATTGCGGACGTGTCACTGAATAAAAGAAAACTGTGACTTGATAGGGCTTCTGAGGTGTTGCAATGATAAGTACTACACAGGAACCGGCAAAGCTGACGTAAGAAGTTTCGCTTTCAATCCTCACGGTGCCACCAGCTTTACAATGAAAGCCAATGTGAAAGGCATGAAAACAAAAGTGGAGAATGCGGGCATTGATCCCGCTACCTCTCGCATGCTAAGCGAGCGCTCTACCATTTGAGCTAATTCCCCTAAGTGGGGTCAGTCTTGCCGATTTTTCAACGTGGTCAAAAAAGAAAAAAAATAGATCATATCTGCTGTGTTGGTCTCTTTGCCCTGCCCGCCATTTAGTCGTCAAATAGCCTGGAATAGAGCTCTTTTCTTTTGAAGGCCCTACCTGGTCCTGCTCCAGTATACGTGTGAGGAGCCCTGCATGCCGAATGACGAGTTACTCAGAAATCAATGCAAATTGGTATCGCCTTGGATTGACATTCTGCTACTTTCCTCCAAGGCTGTTTTTTTTTTTTTATTCATTCTCTTCCACCCGAGCAGCAGCATTGAGTAATCTGAGGTTCCATGGTGTAATGGTTAGCACTCTGGACTCTGAATCCAGCGATCCGAGTTCAAATCTCGCTGGGACCTGGGTTTTTGCCAGCACTGCACAAAAAAAGCTGGAATATCATGCTAGTCCCTTAAAGGCCGGAGAATGGCAGTTCCTCTGGCCATTCTCGGAGAGTGAGAAGAAAGTGGCTGGTTAGAGCGTGGTGCTAATAATGCCAAGGTCGCGGGTTCGAGCTCCGTATTGGCCAAACTTTCACTCTCTTAGGAGTCAGATGCATTTTGGGGCTCTGCTCGGTCTCACAGAGATCAATGCAGCAGGAAGTACATGTTATGGCAGCCGAAATAGCTCAGTTGGGAGAGCGTTAGACTGAAGATCTAAAGGTCCCTGGTTCGATCCCGGGTTTCGGCAAAGCAGTGTTATAGTTCTGTTTTGGACACAAGGAGCAGGTGACCGAAACTCACCCAAAAAGCCTAGCAGCTTCACCCTTAAGTCCACCTGCTTCCACTTGACCAAAACGCTATCCTTTCTTCCAGATGGCCACGTCGCTTCTGGTGATGATTCCAATGGCCTGATCGACAGCACTCTGCTATATATTTAGCGCTTTGATGTCCCATTGCGGACGTGTCACTGAATAAAAGAAAACTGTGACTTGATAGGGCTTCTGAGGTGTTGCAATGATAAGTACTACACAGGAACCGGCAAAGCTGACGTAAGAAGTTTCGCTTTCAATCCTCACGGTGCCACCAGCTTTACAATGAAAGCCAATGTGAAAGGCATGAAAACAAAAGTGGAGAATGCGGGCATCGATCCCGCTACCTCTCGCTTGCGCCTGCAGCATCCCGTCTACAGAGCCAAAGTAAGCCCAAAGTAAGCCCACATGAGCCAATCACGTCTCACCTCGGTGGCTTACTTTTGACCAATAGAGTGTAACCCCTGTGGCTTACTTTTGACCAATCACGTTTGTCTTTGCGCTGACGTCATTTCGACCAATCGCGTTTCACTTCAGTGGCTTACTTTTGACCAATCGCATTTCTTTTTGCTGTGACGTATGTTTGACCAATCGCGTTTCTCCTCGATGGCTTACTTTTGACCAATCACACGACGCTTTTATTATAATCGTCATCTTTGAATCAGGTAAGCCAGATGTAACGCTACTTTATTATTAGTTTATTATTAGTTTATTATACTGTGTGTATTTCTGTTAAATGATAAGTTACAATCGACAGAAAGTTAACGTTACGGCAGATGTTTTCTTCATAACTTGTAAAACGGTAATGTTTCCCATGATAAATACAGAGCAACATGTCGCTAGTGATCAGAAAAGGTGGAATCATCGCCATTTGGTTAAATGATTAAACAAAATGTTCTGATATTTGTTTAGAATAATAATGCCCCCATTCGACCTAGCAATATTGGGCCCTATAATCGCGGTGTACACTCTAAAAAGCTAACGTTACTGTATTTAAATGTACAGTTACAGTTACTTATAATGTAATTGCATGAAATACAGAGTTAAACAGTTTTTTCTTAAACATTTAATTTAGCAAATAATTCTATACTTTTAAAATAATTCTATTTTAGGTAAAACAAAGTAATATTTATAAAGACAACTGCACAAACTTTAAAAACATTTGAGTTTAACACTTGTTCATGACAATATATGATATATATTTAGTAATTAGATTGTATTGTATTTTATAAATCTATTGTAAAAATATTATAAGCATATATTGTATTTTGTTTATTTTATTACTTGTGTTTTCAGATATATTACACAACAGAATAGTTATATTAAATAGCTGAAGTACAAACATTTTATTTATAAAAGTCATAATGTAAAGACTTAAGAGTTTAATGTGTATATTATAACTTAATGTTTTAATTTCTGTTGTTTCTCATTTATTTATATGGATTTTAAGTTGTACTACCATGCATATATTAGGCATATGTGTAGAAAATTCACCAGAAGTCCATTTTATGGTCATGGTCATATTTACTACTGCAATAATATGGATTATCTACCTTGTTAAATTATTGTTTCACACTTAATGTACATGTATCTTTCTGATTGCTCTAGGTAATGTTCTCTCTAATGTTTTTTTTTTTCAGAAAAAAATGTACGCATACCCGATTTTCCGCCGCCAATCAGCGACATCAAGCAGACTCCTCTTGGGGCCATCTGCAGAGGCAGAGCGCCTTGTAAGCAGGGAGTCTGGAAGGGCCAAACCCAAGGAAGAGGTGCTGGCAGAGGCCACTGCTTTCGTCAGCAGCAATGGTGGAGACTCCAGTGACCAGTTTTTAGTTCTGGCTCACTGCAAGATTCAGTTTGGCAAGTACCAGGGCCAAAGATTTAGATGGCTCCTAGAGCATGCTCTGGGGTATGCGGTGTACCTGGTGCTTAGCATTTCTGATGAGAAGCTGCAGACAACACCCTTGTCAGAAAACAAACACCTGTTTCTTCAGTACACTTCCTCCATCAGGGAGATTGCAGAAGAAGTAGAGAAGTACCAGAGGAAACAGGAAATGCAAGCAGAAGCCAGGGCAAAAGGAGATACAGGGTGCTTGATGGTGGAGTTTGGTGACTTTAAGGGCCGGTCCATGAAAGATGTGTTTGAGGACCAGAGCAAGGAGGCCCAAGCCCTCATCAGGTACCTGGTTAAGGCAGATGCCAGGCCAAAAACCAACATGGCACTTTTCAAGACGTATGTCCTGAAAAGACTGGCTTCTGCTGCTGCCTCTGCACCTCCACCTGCAGCATCCAGTGTCTCTGCACCTCCACCTGCAGCATCCAGTGTCCCTGCTCCTCCACCTGCAGCCATCCAAACAGGTGTACAGCAGACTGCCACTGTGAAATCGCTGTTGGCAAGGGGCAAGCACTTGTCTCCTTCACAGCTGGCAAAAAAACTGATGTCACCTGTTAAACCCTGTAAGTAGGAGAGTGAATACTGAGCATGATACAGAATTATCCCAACAGCAGTTATATATGTGTTTATTTATTGTTATGTCAAACTTTCTGTTTCCAGATCCAAAACTGCAGTCCACTGTATCTCCTCCTACAGCAGAACCCCCAGCCAAACGTATGGCCCAAAGGCAGCTTTTTACTACTGGTAAGTAAGCACCATCGTATTGTACATTTGGCTGTGTGTATTTTTCACAGTAATATTTTTAAGATTTATGCTCCAGGCACTTCCAGATCCACAGCTGAAGATGATGAAGAACTGGTGTTTGCTGCATCACAATGTGAAGCACAGCTCTTTGCAGGTGTGGCACACGACACTAATGAAAATGTTATAAGAATATTTTGTGAAAACACACTAAGTATTTTTTTTTACAAAAAATAATGAATCAAATTTTTATCTACAGTACAGAGTTGTCACATCATGCCTCAAGCAGGATGCATTCTTTGAGTGCACTTCTTCAAAACCTTAAGGATGTTCAAAGGTTTCAGTGTATTTATTTGCGTTTCCGAACTAATCATTATTGAACATTCATCAGATAACTTTTCCACGTCGCTTGCTCTTCATTACTCACTCTCTTAGATGGTGGTGATTCATTGCTGTCATTATCAGCTGAGCAGTTTTTCCTTACTGTATCTGTGTGCATGCTTCATGTCTTTGTGCTTCAATAATTTATACTAATCATGCCTCATTTTACTTACTCCGTTTCATATGATTCTCATTCGCAGAGAATTGTGTTAATTCCATATCCCTTTCATCAATAAAGTGCACACTAATTTCTTTGCTTCCTAACAGTACCATTCTCTTAACTTGTATTTCTAAGTATACCCATATTAATAATAATACTTATCCAAAACTATTGCTTCACTGGCTGTTCATGGGCATAATTTGTGGCACCTTACTATCAAAAGCAACAGTCATCATAATATTGTTAACCATAAATTGTTTGTTACTATTCACTCAGAGGCCTGTGCCAATCCGTCTCCATCAGCGGAAACAGCAAAAACACCAGATCTTCAACATCATCAGCCACCAGTTGAGCTTCCTGTTCACTGGAAAGATCAGCTTCCCCCTTTCCAGCATGAGTGGATCCGGAACACTGTATTTAAAACAAACTTAAAAACCGGCAAGCCAGAGCTAGTGTCCCAGCTGAAGCTTTGGTGGTATCCTCCCCAGCCCCCTCTAATTAACACGCAGCCACCTGCCTCTCCTGACCTCTTCTTCTGCCGACCACTTTTTCTGTGGATGCCGCTGAAGATGTGGTTGTTTCCACTTGTCTGTGTTCGCCTAAGCTGTGGTAAGCACAGACTAACAGCTGCTGGAATTTACCGCACGGTGCGCAAGGTCCTCGACATCGACAGCTGGTACGACCTTGCCACTGAGTATCTGGAGTGCAAGCGGTGCAAAAAGAAGTATCCTGCCTGGTCCGAGGACATCTTAGGACAGCTGGATATTGGCCACCGTAGTCAGTTCCCAGCTTTGCTGACATACAGGTAATTCATAATGCCAATATTTTAATTGTGTTAATTTTTAGCAAACAAAGCATTTCCCTTATTATAATGTTGTTTCCTTAGATACTCATGTGACAACCGGGTAGTTAGGATGATGAGGGAGAGGACACTGGGCAACAGTGTGACTCAGCTTTTCAAAAAGCTGATGGAGCAACACAGTGAGGCATGGACACAGCGAGTCTTGCAGTACCTGACTGCCTGTGAACCATTCACAAGGTCCTCCCTTGTGCAACCTCCTGTGTTTGCTGAGCCTCCCCTCTTACCTGCCATACCCAAACCTAAGTGGCTGTTAGCCGTCTATGCCAGGGATGTTCTGGGGCGACTGCACGAGGTCAAAGCCAAAATCACCTCCGTCTTTGGCTGTGTTCTAAAGATGGACTCCACAAAAAAGGTATGTTTATATCCAGACATTTGCCAGATATGGATATGTGTGCGTACATATTTAACACAGTTTTATTTTTCCTAATAGATCACAAAGAAACTTGCAGGTGCTGCTGCGGGAACAGCTGCCTGGTGCACTAATGTGGGGAACGAACACGGTCAAGTCCTTGTCTCTGTGCTGTCAGCTGCCGAGGGTCATGGACTGGACCCAATGGCGGCCGGGCTGATGAAGCGTTACCGGGAGGCAGGAGAGGCAGCCCCGAAAGTAATGTACGTGGACAGAGATTGCTGCAGTCAGCACGGCCAGTCTCCGGTGAAGATCATGTTTCGGGAGTGGGATGAGCTTGAAGTGCGCCTTGACATCTGGCATTTTATGCGCCGGTTTGCTGCAGGTGTCACGACAGAAGCTCATCCGCTCTACGGCATCTTCATGGCACGTCTGTCCACGTGCATCTTTCAGTGGGATCCAGAAGATGTGGCCGCTCTTCGCCAGGCAAAGGAAGGTGAGCTGGCGGCAAAAAAGACTGGCCACATTTCACAAACGGCTCTCAGTGCTCGCATAAACCGGAGGGAGCTAGCACTGCACTGCCGTAGGAGGACCAGAGGTGTGGAGGAGACCACCTGTCTGATTGGAAAGCTGTTGGACCATTTTGACAGCGAGCATGGGAAGGACACTCTGGGTGTTCCTCTGCTGGACCACGAACGGATCCAGCAGATATGGAAGGAACAGCAGAAGCATATACAGTGCATTCAAGACCCAGAGAACTTTCCACTGTACATGAAGACAGGGACACTGAAGAAAGGCAGTGTGGAGCTGTGTTGTTACAGGTGTGCCCGTGGCTCTACATCTTTGGAGTCCTTCCACCTCCACCTAAACCGTTTTATTCCAGGTATTACATACATTTGGATTGTTTTATTTTGTAAAACATATAAGCACTGTGATAACTTCCATTGCTTTAATGTAACATTATTAAACATTTAAATAACATTTGTGATGTTATCAGCATTGACAAAGCTGTCTTGCCTGACAAGTAACTCTGTTTATAATGACAATAATTTTAATGTTAGTACATAACCTAATAACATGTTAATTAATTCTTCACATATTTTTAACTATTTTAATTTCCAGGGACCAGTGCCAGTGATGCGCATTTTCAGGCCTATCTCCTTGAGGGCTTGATGCGCTGGAATGATGACCGGATGGAAAGCACCATAAAAGGAGCATCCTCCATACGGTCATATGGCAGTGCCATGAGAGAGGCTGTGGACAGGCTTAGCCGAGCAGTCTTAGGGAAGCCCTGGGATAACCGTTATCACCCTCCTGGAGCATATACAGGCAAGAAATTCATTAACTAGTTGTTATATAAGTGATTTATTAAGCTTTAATGTACTTCACAAAATGTTTATCTAAATATTTACTTTATTATTAGTTTTATTTAATATATGTTTTTTTTTAATTGCTTTATTCTTTAAGGTGAATTGCTGGGAATAGAGTACCTTTACAGCCAGACCGGCAAAACCCTGACTCCGGTGCTCCAGAACCCAGAGGAGGAAGACAGGCTGGTGGAGGAAGTAGATGACGAGGATCTACAAGATGAGGGGTTTGAGGAGGAGATCATGGAGGACATCACAGTTCCGGTGCTGTATGAGGATGACCCCTGCCGTGATCTCAGAAACAGCCCCTCATCTTCGCCTCTGCCTCAGTCCCCAGCATCACTGGCTGAGTCGTCCACATCAGCTGGTGGAGAAGGACAGCTTCCTAGCCGAGCCCCCTCAGTGCCGTCACAGCCATCCGACTCTGGAGACAGTCTCTCTGTTGAGGCTCAGGTAAGATACATTAAAAACTTAATTTGATTTAGTCTTTTTTTATTCCACATATACTAAATTTATTCTGTATTTACCAGGGAGTAGTCATTGGACCTGATGGCATTGCTGGGTGGGACAAGGTCCAGGATCTGGCTGCTTATTTGGTGGGTCTTCGTGAGGCTCCTTACCTCACTGACCTGCAGGTGACAGAGGCCATCCAGCTGTGGACAGCTCTCCTGGATGTTGATAAACAGCGCATCAACTACCAGCCTCGACATCAGCCTCAGCTGACGCATGGGCGCTTTAAGGCACCGAAGCGCTCCGGAGTCACTCCAGGTGTGGAGAGTGTCAAGCGCTGTCTGATTGGACATCTTGGGGGTCCAGCACAGTTGCTTAGCACCAGCCACTTGGTTGAGGCCATTTGTACAAAGCTGTGTGCCGTACACAAGTCCACTTCCAAGAAGGCTGGTGTTCGCACCCCCAGGTGGTCTAAAATACTGACCGATTACCACCACATCCGGGATCTGGTGCTTGGCAGTCACAGGCTGATGGATGAAACTGTGATCCAGCTTTTTGAGCAAAACCAGAAGACGCTCGTTCAGTGGTAAGCAAAGCACATTATTTTCTTTAAATTACCTGAATACTTCTAAATTAATATATATGAATAATACATATCATTTATTATCAGGTTTCAACGGAGGCAAAAGGATCAGGAAATGAGTGTACTCACTCAGGGACTGACTCCACTTAATCCAATTGCTGTGGCAGATACGCAGCTTCCTTTGCCGAGGGAAAAATTGGACGAGGCACCGTCAACATCAGGCCCCAAACACCAGTTTGTCTTTCCTCCAAATAAAGAAGGACAGGCACCTCTTCTTCGACCTGGTCGAAAGTCTGCTTCTGCAACCACCACAGTTTGCTCCTTCCTGCCAGATGCCACCACGGTGTGCTCCTTCCCACCGGCCCCCACGACGGTATGCCCCATCGCGCCAACCCCCACCACAGTCTGCCACATTGCACCGGCCCCTACCATAGTGTGCCCCGTCACACCGCCCTTCACTACAGTGCGCCCCATCTCGCCAGCCTCCACCACAGTGTGCCCCATCATACCAGCCTCCACCACAGTGCGCCCTATTGCGCCAGCCCCCACCACAGTGCGCCCCATTGTGTCTGCCCCCACCACGGTGTGCTCCTTTCCACTGGCCCCCAGCACAGTGTGCCCCATTGCACCACCCCCAACAGCACCAGGTGTTGTGCAGCCCATTTCAGGACCTGGATCATTGTTTGGCACACTTGTTTTTAACCCAGACATGAGTGTGTCAATGGTGATTCCATCATTTGCTGCACCAACATCCAGTGCAGTCCCAGCTTCACCTGCACCTGCTGTTCCTTCACCTGCACCTGCTGTTCCTCCACCTGCACCTGCTGTTCCTCCACCTGCACCTGCGCCTGCTGTTCCTGTGTCCCGTTACACCCAGAGGAACAGGCGCAGACGGGAACAGGAGAAGGAAAGTGGAGTCCACACAAGGAAGTATGTGCGTGCGGTTACTTTTAATGTTTGCAGCAAATGTGGGCAACCCAAGACTAAGGAGTTTGGCCATAGCCGATTTGGTAATGCCACATTTTGCCTGCAAACTTCAAATGGCAAATCCTTAGAGGACTGGTTGGCAGAACAGCGCCAGCAAAATTAAAGGACAAACTCCAGCTCCAGAATAAAGTACAAATTGCTGTATATATTTTTGTAAATGTTACATGTGTACTCTCTCTCTCTCATTTTATTTAATTTTTGTGTGTTAATATGTAGCATTTTAAAGTAGCATTTATATATTACATAGGCCCACTCTTATTTTGTCTTGTGTGTACTTATTTAATATTTGTGTGAATTTTATGTAAAAATATATTTATATTTCTTAAAAAAAATAACATTTTATACATTGCTTAAATACTATATTGTATATATTACGTTCCCCTACTCTTGCATTTTATTATTTATTTATATTATTGTTTAATATATTGTGTGTATAAAATAAATAAATAAATAAATATTTTTATTGTTTTTATATAATGTGTTTAATAAATAAATATATATTGTATTGTTTTTATTTATTGTATATTATATAGTTTATATATTAAGATATGTTTTTATTTTGTTTTTTACATTTTTTACATTGTTTTGTTTGCGATTTTAATATTTGTATTAATTTTAATAAACCATTTTGCATATTACCTGTTTTTGTGTGCATTCATTTAAAGTTATTATTACATAAAGAAATATAACATATATTAATATATATATATATATATATATATATATATATATATATATATATATATATATATATATATATATATATATATATATATATATATAAAATGTACTTATGTATACATAAGCATGCATACTTATGTTTAATTGAAACATTTTCATTCATTTTTAATTAACGTAATAAGCTTTTTAAGAACAATATCCACATAATATTAGTAATATTAATATACTTGCATGTGTTATGTCAGTAAAATTTGAATAAGAGCGCAGCTGATTGGCTACGCTGAAACCGACACTGATTGGATATTGTGTTACACAGATCGTGTATTTGAATCCAGCACGCAAAAAATGACATTTAGAATGACATGCAATATGCAACCAAAATACCACATTATGCACAGTCACAAAGCCGCGAACACTACTGCAAGCGAAATTTGTCGCATTTTTCCGTTTTTTGCGACTTGTTAGCTTGCGAGTGAGCGAGAAGATTGGGCCCCTTCCTTTGCGCAGCGAGAGCTCTACCATTTGAGCTAATTCCCCTAGGTGGGGTCAGTCTTGCCGATTTTTCGACGTGGTCAAAAAAAAAAAAAAAAAGATCACATCTGCTCTGTGGTGGCCTCTTTGCCCTGCCCGCCATTTATTCGTCAAATTGCCTGGAATAGCACTCTTTTCTTTTGAAGGCCCTACCTGGTCCTGCTCCAATATACGTGTGAGGAGCCCTGCATGCCGAATGACGAGTTACTCAGAAATCAATGCAAATTGGCAGCGCCTTGGATTGACATTCTGCTACTTTCCTCCAAGGCTGTTTGGAGAAGGCCGGAGAATGACAGTTACTCTGGCCTTTCTAAGAACGTGAGCAGAACGTGGCCGGTTAGCTCAGCAGGTTAGGGCGTGGTGCTAATAACGCCAAGGTCATGGGTTCTAGCGCCGTATTGGCCAACCTTTTACTCTCTTAGGACTCAGACGCATTTTAGGGCTCTGCTCGGTCTCACAGACATCCATGCTGCAGGAAAGCTGTGTCATGGCAGCTAATTCCCCTTGGTGCGGTCAAACTTGCCTGGAATAGCGCTCTTTTCTTTTGAAGGCTCTACCAGGTCCTGCTCCAGTAAACGTGTGAGGAGCCCTGCATGCCGAATGACGAGTTACTAAGAAATCAATACAAATTGGCACTACCTTGGATTGACATTCTGCTACTTTCCTTCCAACGTTGTCATACATTTAACCTAAAATCAACCAAATATCAACGTCTGATGATGTTACAGCTTGACATTTGTGGACGTTGCCACTATGACATCTATAAGATGTTGGATTTTGGCTGCCATACCTAACAAATAAATGTCAGTATTTGACGTCAATATGTTGGTTGGTCAACGCAGTGGTGCAGTAGGTAGTGCTGTCGCCTCACATCAAGAAGTTCGCTGGTTTGAGCCTCGCTTGGGTCTGTTGGCATTTCTGTGTGGAGTTTGCATGTTCTCCCTGGGTTCGCGAGGGTTTCCTCCGGGTGCTCGGGTTTTCCCCCACAGTCCAAAGACATGCGGTACAGGTGAATTGGGTAAGCTAAATTGTCCGTAGTGTATGAGTGTGAATAAGAGTGTATGGGTGTTTTTCAGAGATGGGTTGCGGCTGGAAGAGCATCCGCAGCGTAAAACGTGTTGGATAAGTTCCTGGTTCATTCCGCTGTGGCGACCCAAGATTAATAAAGGGACTAAGCCGAAAAGAAAATGAATGAATGAATGAATGACGTTGGTTTAAGATGTTAATTCGACCTTGGATTTGGTCACTTTCTAACAACCTAAAATCAATGTCATTTGATAGCGTTATTGGACGTCAAAATAACATTGTCCTTAGACGCTGGCTAAACATAGAATTATGGTCACCTGCCATCACCTAACAACAAACTAGATATGACCCAATATTAATGACTTATGGCGTTGTGTGCCTGCTGGAATGCTTTCCTAACGAAAAGATCCGATAATAGAGATAGTAACCATGGTAACCACTTATAACACAGTTTGTTTACCACAGAAGAAAACTACTTAACTTGACATTACTGTATACCGCTATACAGTAAATTACACTTAAAAGGGTGGTCCACTACGATATCATATTTTAAACTTTAGTTGATGTGTAATGTAGCTGTGTGAACATAAACAGCATCTCTGAATGTAAAATGCTCAAAGTTCAATGCAAAGGGAGACCTTGATTTTTACAGAGTTAGCTTAGCAAAGCCTACAATGAACGAATTTTGGGGACTACAAAAAATACTTCCGCCCCCTGTGAGATCACAAAAGTTTGTTATTGCGCATCCCACACTGCACAAGTAAAGGCCATGGCCAGAGGCGCTGTAATGTTACTGCAGAGGGAGAAATGCCATTCTGCTGTTTCCACAGAGCTGTTCTGTTTCTGTTGTTGGGCTTCCAAATGACACGACCCAAACATAGAAGTGCTTACAGTTCAATATTAATTATGTTCCAGAGAAATATAAAATACATAGCAAGCATGATTTGACAAAACGCAGCTTCCAGAATCTCTCCCAGTTCAGTGCTGAATTCGGCTAATATCTCCTCAAAGATGGAGCAAGGAGACACTGTGAACTCTGGGAGCCATGACCTGTAAGTGTTTTTATTTGTTAAAATTGATTATGACATGTACAGTGTTAAAGGTATGTTGTAACAAAGATGTAAAGAACAGGAAATTATGTTCACCACTAACGATTTAGCCACAAATCCATATTTACCAGTCAAACGGCTGTAAACACACATACACACACTCTTGACCAGCACCTGCGTCTCTCTGTGTGAGACGGCAGAGTTTCTCTATATAGGCAGCTTTCCTATGCGTTTTACAACTCAGACAATAAAGTCGCAAAAGATATGTGAATGATTCATGTTACTTACACAGGCATATTCCGGATATGCGTGAAAGACGTCCTGTAACGCGTTGATTTAAAAAAAATACAGCAATGCTCTCCCAACTGGAGTGTAACATCAAAAACAAATCAATCCAGGCTTACAAAGGTCTCATCTCACATCTTGTGATTTATTCTGTCACCATCGTCACCACAGAAAATAACTTAATCCGAGCCTGAGAGAAAAAGAACAATAAATATTTCACCTGCACACAAGCGCTTCTCGTGTTACAGATACTTCATAGTATACACACGCACACACATAAACACACACCAAATGGCACAGAAACACTTAAAATAGCCGCATCCCATTTTCACTCGTTACAGACACGTGTTGACTGACTGTTTACACAAAACGCGCGTGCTTGTCCGGGCGCGACGTGGAGCCGATCTGCGAATCACAGCACATTATGATGATGACCAATCAGAGTTACTTGAGGGCGGGCATTTTAGAGGAACTAGGAAATATGACAGTCGATTTCATGTTAGCTGAGTAGCTGTGTATAATCAAAGTGAGATTTACGAAAAAATAACACGATTTTCTTCAAGTGAAACATGAGCACACATTGCTTTGCATCTTATTAACACAATCAAGCCTTAAAATTACATTCTGGACCACCCCTTTAAGCTGTCGTCACACTACATTTTGAGCATGCAAAATTCTATTGTACAGGTGTGGGATAAAACAACATGATGTAACACTGATTAAGCAAGAGACTGCTCCATATTTTACATTTATTTACAGAGAGAGAGAGATTAGTTTTGTTCTTCTGTTGTTCACATGCAGGTCATGGTCAGAGTTCACCAAGCTTTAACTGTGAAACACAGTGACATGCGAAACTTGTCTTACACGCTTGCATCTCCTGTCTGCCGCATTTACATGTGTATGAATGGAAGTCTACGAGTCAAAAGGTGAAGTGTGACCGTGTCTTTACTCTTCCACAAGAAATGTGTCTTAGGTCATGCAGTATGTATAGGCATGGGACTATAACCGATTTCAAGGTATACTGAAGTTTGATATTCAAGATTTTAAAACCAACAAACAATTTGGTTTTACTGTTCATAAGGTATGTGTCAGATTTTTTGTTTAAAATGATTTTTATTTTTTTATTTTTGGGCAACAGTATCTCCAGCAGAAAAGATTTAGATAGACAAAGATTTAAATAGTAAAGAAATCTGTGCTTTTGAAACTAATAAAGACAAAGGTCAAAGATTCATTTGAATTATTTAGCCTGACACGTTCACTGCTCCAAAACATTTTAAATGTTTCTCAAAATAAAATATATTGTGTTCAAAAGAGAAAAAGTTTTTGTTTTTCGGACCGACACAGGGAATATGTTTTAGAGCAGTAATAACAATACTGTGAAACCGTGAGAATCATATATCGGCTCGTGCCTACATACGTGAAGTCAGAGGTCGGCCAAGAAGTAATCGAAAATGCGCATTTATCTGTGCTGATGGCCTAGTTGTTAATGCGTCGATATATAGCACCGAAGTGCTCACTGTGACCCGAGTTCGATTCCCAGCTCGAGGTCCTTTGCTGATCCTTCTGCTCACTCTATACTCACACAACCTTTCCTGTCTCCACTATACTGTCCTATAAAAGAATGGTTAAAAAATAATAATTCTAATAATTATTCATTTAATAATTTATTTTCCTTCGGCTTAGTCCCTGATTTCTCAGGGGTGGCCACAGCGGAATAAACTGCCAACTTATCAAGCACAGGTTTTACACAGCGGATGCCATTCCAGCCGCAACCCAGTACTGGGAAACACCCATATACTCTCATTCACCCTCCCACTTACACACTACAGCCAACTTAGTTTATTCAATACACCGTTAATGCATGTCTTTGGATTGTGGAAGAAACCAGAGCACCCGGAGGAAACCCACCCGAACACAAGGAGAACATGCAAATACAGTGCTAACCACTGCATCACCATGCTGCCTGAGTTTATAATTAAAAAATATTATATATTTTTTGTCAAAAAAACACACCGATCTGCTTCATAACACATGAATTAAGCCCCCTGGCAGCATATTGGTTATGTTTACAACAGATTTATGCACTTGGAAATGTAAAAAAATGGGCCTGCATGGGAGATCCAGGATAAAACGCAAACTACTCTGACTGGAATTGAGTCACAATCACCAGTGATCTAGTCCTGGCAAATCACTAAAGGACTACAAATCCACTGGTATACGGACTACAAATTCCAGTCATGCACCACACACACACACACACACAACTGTTCCAGATCATGACTGATTACACTCACACAGCTGGGAGCTGCTCAAAGACTGATTAGATGGACTTTAATACAGTGCACGCACATACCTCTTTGCTGAGTCTTGTAAACAGCTCTGTGAACATTACAATGCATTTTCCTTGCCTTGCTTTGCCATGGTTTTGACCCTCAACTTGTTTATTTGTTTATGTTGTCTGCTGCCTGCCTATACTGACCTATTGAATGTATATTTTACCAAGACTTTTGTTCAGACTCTGAATTTGCCTGCATACATCTGTTTGCTCCTGATTGTGACCAAAGCTTCCCTGATCATTCTCAATAAACTTGCATTTGGATCCGCGCCTTCCTTGTCAGCATCCCATTCAAATTACAGATTGTCTGATAGAATAAAGTCATATAGACAGAGGATGGCTTGAGGGTGACTGGAGTAATTTTCATTTTTGGGTGAACTATTACTTACAGTTTGACGGTGGTTTTACACAGAAGCATTTAGATTGCGGATGGACAAGCTGCTATGTTATGATGGACAAGTTGGCTAATGTCTGTTTCACCATTTACGTCAATTGGTTGAGTTAAGGTTGCAACTGTCGCCTTTGGCTCGCTCAGTTAGGATCTGTAGAGCTGCTCTACAGTCAATCACATGCTTCAAAAATGACATTCATAATAAAGCGCTACAAAAAGACTAATAGCTTGACTTATTTTTGAATAAGTTACCGTTTGACATTGGTTTCACACAGAAGCGTTTGGTTTCCGAACGGAGAAGCTGTTGTGGGGAACCGCAGGGGGTCTGTGAGGGATGATACAGCACTGGTTTAATAACGAATCCTAAAGCCTTCATTTCCCCAAAGCCCAGCGTCCACAGCCTTCTTCTCACGCACACATCCCCTGGAGAGCCTGCAACCAGGGAGAGAGTGTGTGTGTTCTTTAATGGCTGCCTTTGATGTGCACATTTTCATCTTCATCATTGCATATGCAAGTGTGTTTTTGAGTTTTTGTATATTTCAGTACTCACTTTTGGAGGGAGTTATAATTTAATAATGTGATTGTGTGATTCAGGTCAAACAGGTAGGTCTATTAGCCTCTGGGGACAGGACACTTTATCTGCCATCTTTTGTCTGGAAAGAAAACAGACACACATTGCATAAAATACCAGTTAGATCTTCGACGAATTAGATGGATATTAAATCTTTAAATCTCATGGCAAAATGAAACACCACAGCCCAGGTCGGATGCACCAGATTTATCTATTGCAAATAAAAAAATGCTTAAAGTAATTACCAATTTATTTGTATTGTGTTGTATAGATGTATAGGTTTGGGACAAAACGAGGATGAGTAAATTATGACAGAATGTTTTTGCAACGCTTTAGTTTTATAAATTTGAAAAATGTTTTAATTTCCTAAAAATAATTATAATAAAAATGCTTTAATCCAAAACTACTTTAAACAGATTAAGAAAGTAGTTGTCTAACCTTCAGCATAATCATGCTATTAAGCTTACTGAAATGTTATTGAAAATCACTAAAAAATGTATTGCTTTAAAATGGAAAACAGACATTGAACTTTGAAGTTTTGAACTCAGTGTTGAAGATAATGAGTTAATTAAATACTTTATTACCTTTACCTAAATAGAGTAAGTTCACAGTTCTTATATAAATATATATATATATATATATATATATATATATATATATATATATATATATATATATATATATATAAAAATATATATAATTAGTTTTTTTAACTCAAATGATTCGTACACTATAAAAAGTTAAGGTAACTCAAACCATTTGAGGAAAACGATTGCAACAAGCTATTTAAGTTGGGTTTTAGTTTGCTCAGACTGCTTCATCTACTCTAATGGATTAAGTTCAGAGTACTCATTGGGATTAGTTTTTGAACTTAAATGGTTTGTTTCAATCAGTTTCCTCAAGTGGTTTGAGTTACCTTAACTTTTTGAGTTTTACAGTGCAAATATGCATTTAAATAAAAATCTCTTATTATGAAAAACTACTGTTGACATTTTTTACAAAAAAACTTTGTGCAAACAATAAAAGACACACCATGTTTTCAAGGATGTCCATTAAATTATGTAATAGAGAGAACTATTGTTAGGAGACCATATTATTATTATTATTACTATTTCTCTCTAGGAAAAATACAATACTTTCAGCAAGTAGGCCACGTTTAGTCTACTGAACATTTTCATAATTATTATTTTTCCGTTGCTTAGCAAATGTCCTTTGTCCATAATGGCTAACATAGTTTTACATTGATTACTGGTTTATGCGTTACCTATTGGAACAAACCAATGCTTAGCTCCTTAGCCTTGAGCAAGAACACATTTCTATGAAGTTATTTTGCTATGCACCCTAGAGGACCACTCTATGAAATATTAAAGAAAAAAGCGAGAGTTATGGAAGGACAGAAGGCCGTTTTCATTACAAAAGATAAGAAGAAATGTAATAAAAAGGTATTGCCTGGAAAGTTTGTGTGTGTGTGTGTGTGTGTGTGTGTGTGTGTGTGTGTGTGTGTGTGTGTGTGTGTTAGGTGGACGATGGCACAGGGTAAGAATTTGGAATGTGAAATGAGTAATGTTATTGCTCAACCCACATCACAAAGCCACAGTGCCTGAAGCTACGACAAGCTCAGTGCATTTCTCTATACCTCCATCCATCCCTTCATCCCCCATCTCCCTCTTCTTTTAGCTTTCTTCATCCCTTCATCTGAAACTGTCTGTAATTATGGTAGTGTATGTGGTCTAACGTTTAATGTCTTATATGTGCCAATATAATTGTGTAGGTGAGCGAAGTTACAGGAAAAGAGCGGCAAACTGAGAAGATTCCTTGTTAAATGACAATGATTTCAACTAAAGTGGTGGAGAGGTTTATTTTAGCTGGAAGGAGTGAATGAGCCATCTCTATGCCACTAGAGTAGTCTGGCTTGCTTTTGAGTTGTGTCGTGGATTAAATATAGGTCACATTACAATTATTACAACTAATTATATTAAATAATAAATTAATACTCTACAAAAATATTATAATCAGTACTCTACACTGTAAATAAAATCTATAACTTTCATATTTTATGGTTCACATGTTGTTTTCTGTTAATTTACAGTTGGCTATATTTTTGCTCATCATTCCCTCACTGCAAACTAACAGTAAGAAGGCCATGGCTAAGAATACTGTGGCTAACGCCATCAAACTGACGTCAACAGAGAAACACCACCACTTTAAACATGAATGCAAATGGTCTGACTTTGATTGAAGAACTTTTTCGAGTGGATTAACTTGCTATTTGCACAGCTAGTGTTTTTCAGACAATAATGAAATTCTGGGGAACGCTTTATGTGACTATTTTCAATTTGGGGGATATAAGGATCATAAGGATCCTTTTACAGCATTGGTGTTATACTGTAAATAAAAAATTATCAGTTAAATAACGTAAGCATCCATTTGGTTGTTAAAGCATAAAAAGAGATGAAAGACGCAGTCATTAGCAGCATGTTAGTGAAAAAATTCTATCGAAAATACTGGGGTAAATTTAATTTCCATATTTTAAAAGACATGGTGCAGAAAAATCTAATTTAATGCAGTGCTTCTTGTTTGGTCTGAGACCCGCCTTATATTGTATCTCATCCAGGCAGTGAAGATCACTGTTTTTTAAAGAAATTAGATCTTAAATGCTGTGATTTTGTAAGAATACTCTGTGAATATTTGGTGCCCTGTGGCTGGCTGACTAAAATCAAAAGTTTATCTGTATACACCCCATTTTTAACCTAAAGAATGACAATGTGCCCTAGCAACATAAACAGTGTAAAATTTTAGCGGATCACTAAAGACTAGAAACAAGTGCAAAGACTAGAAACTGCAGCTGGTGTCCACACACAAACTCATCCCTTGACTTTAGGTGTGTGTGAGTAAGAGAGAGAGAGAGAGAGAGAGAGAGAGAGAGAGAGAGAGAGAGAGAGAGAGAGAGAGAGAGAGAGAGAGAGAGAGAGAGAGAGAGAGAGAGAGAGAGAGAGAGAGAGAGAGAGAGAGAGAGAGAGAGAGAGAGTGAGTGAGAGTGTGTGTGTGTGTGTGTGTGTGTGTGTGTGTGTGTGTGTGTGTGTGTGTGTGTGTGTGTGTGTGTGTTCTTTTAGCAGTGTTGTTCGGCCTTGCAGCTCACACTTTACTAGGATTTGGTCTCCTCATGATCCTGACAGAGTGACTGAAGTCTGGGAAAACTGCGAGGGAGGATTTCCCATGAGCCTTGGCATAGTGTTAAAGAAACACCTGTAGGGTTCAACCCCAAAGCTTCACTCCACTCAGATCATAAAACACACTTCTCAACATGTACTGAAACCGCATTTGCAATCAAACATATAGACCAATGATCACAAAACAGCCCATTTGGTGCCTGTGTGATCAGATCAAGTTTCAAACCCAACCTCTATTAACAGTGAAAACAAGAGTTTCCCAGACTGTTGAACAAGAGCTCTGCAGATAACGGCAGATTGGAGTCCTTACTCCTCTGCTCCTCACATCAACATTCACTCTTTTTTCATATGCATACAAAACATGTGTTCACCTAAACATCTCATGTGATTACAGCTTTTTCTTTCCCAAGCCTATCAGTACTGAACCCACCTGCGTTCTTTCTGTGGAGAGTCTGCCATCTGCACTGCAAGGCTATGAAAAATCTGTCGATTTTGATGTTTACACCTGCAAACACAAAACAGTTAGCATTATAAAACAAAGAGAAACAGATTCAAAATGCAACATGTACTATTATAATAAATAAATAAATGTGCTGTCTGTTTTTATTCATTCATTCTCCTTCAGCTTAGTCACTTATTTATCTGGTGTCGCCACAGAGGAATGACCTACCAACTATGCTGCCATATGCTTTATGCAGCGGATGTCCTTCCAGATGCAACCCTGCACTGGAAAACACATAAACACACTCTCATTGACACATGCACGCATATACTACAGCCAAATTAGCTTACACAATTCACCTTTAGCGCATGTCTTTGGACTGTGGGGGAAACCGGAGCACCCGGAGGAAACCCACACCAACACGTGGAAAAACAGGCAAACTCCACACAGAAATGCCAAATGGTCCAGCCAGGACTCAAACCAATGACCTTCATGCTATGAGACGACAGTGCTAACCACAAAGCCATCATGCCATTTGTTTTTATGTATTTAAACAGTGTATGTAAACTATTTATTTACTGTAGGATTTTTCCTCCCACATTTTCTGTGCCAATTTCTATGATGTTAGGGACTTCACCATGTTTGTTTCTGTATTCTTTATTTACAGAAAAGGTGTTTATATACATATAGCCTAAAAGTATGATAAAAGTATATGCATAATCTTAACCATTCATTCATTTTCCTTCAGCTTAATCCCTTATTTATCAGGGGTCGCCACAGAGGGATGAACCGCCAACTATTCCATCATATATTTTAAAAAGCGAATGCCATTCCAGCCACAACCCAGTACTGGAAAACACCAATACACACTCATTCGCACACTCATACACTACAGCCATTTAGTTTACTTAATTCACTTATACTGCATGTCTTTGGACTGTGGGGGAAACCGCAGCAGAGGAAACCCATGCAAACATGGGGAAAACATGCAAACTCCACACAGAAATGCCCAGTCAGGACTAGAACCAGCCACCTTCTTGCTGTAAGTAGACAGTGCTAACTACTGAGCCACCGTGCCACCGTGACTTAACCAGTAAAAAAATAAGAGCAGTCTTTCATGGTCATCCATGTATTGATGCAGGAATGCAAACTTGTCACCATTTGTTTTACACCAAAAATAAACACTGAACACATTAAATAGCTGGAATTGAATTAAATATATACATTTGGTTCACTGAAGAATGTATTACACAAACTAACAATAGCAAAAAAAAGTTGACCCCTGATTGGGGGGGTTGTTGTGGGGGGCAACTGAATTATCTTATTTTTAATGTGACACGGTGGCTGAGTGGTTAGCACTGTTGCCTCACAGCAAGAAGTTAGCTGGTTCGAGTCCTCTGAGAGCTCCAGTTCAAAGACACGCGCTATAGGTGAATTAGATTAACTAAACTGACTGTTTGGAATGGGTGTTTCCCAGTTCTCAATTTTGGGTTGGAAGGACATCTGCAGTGTAAATCATATGACGGAATAGTTGGCGATTCATTCCTCTGTGGTGACCCTGATAAATAAGGGACTAAGCTGAAGGAAAATGAATGAATGACTATGTTCATTTAAATATTTGTGTTGGAATAGCATGATGGAATTGTGTAGAACACAATATTTTTACAGTGCACCAAAAAGGATAGTGATATGCAAGCTGCTTGTTTTATTTATTTAAAAACAAAATCAGATTATTTCAGAAAAGGACTACCAAGTTACTGGGTTCCCCTTTATTTTCCAAATGCTTTTTTTTCATTAAACAAGAAAAAAAAGTCAGGTTTTCATATGTCCCCTTTAAGCATTTGCATGAATGTCGTAGCACAACAGGTCATCAGGGTCATTTAACAAATCAGAAACCTGACAAAACCCCCTGCCTCTGGTTCACAGGTGTGTGTGTGTGAGTGTGTGATGGAAGAAGGTTGAACGATGCTCTGTCGCTGCAGGACAGATGGCTTTGACACATGTAACCTCTGAAAATATGATGGAAAACATCAACCAGCTACATTGCTCTCAATCTACTTCCTCTTCCTAGAATAATCATCCCAGACCTCCATTTCTCAAGACTTGCTGTCTGCTCATCTCCCTCCCTCTCGCTCTTTCCCTGAATATCCCGATTGGCCTCGGGAGCTGTTATGACAGTAAGGATGGAGTGCACGATGAGCAAGAAGGAGCATGAAGATAGATAGTGCTGGGGGCGAGCTGGATGGATGGAGAGAGACGGGAGTTAAGAAAGGGGCACTGTTTTAGAAAGGTAGCCTGGAGAGACAGACTTCAACCGCTATTCGGCCTCTGTTCAGAGCTGCCTGTCTCATCCACCACACTAATGGTTTGGGGGGGTAAACATCAACACCAGTCAAAACAGGTAACTGCCGTGATCTTCTTGAGTAACACATAAACACACACACAGGCACGTATGCACACACATACACCTACAGACACCCGTAATTACACACACACACCTGACCACAGCACACGTCTGAGAGAGAGAGAGAGAGAGAGAGAGAGAGAGAGAGAGAGAGAGACGAGAGAAGAGAGAGAGAAGAATGACTAGGCCATTATTATTCATTAATTTTCTTGTTGGTTTAGTCCCTTTATTAATCAGGAGTCGCCACAGCTGAATGAACCACCAACTTATCCAGCAAGTTTTTATGCAGCAGATGCCCTTCCACCCGCAACCCATCTCTGGGAAATATCCACACACACATTCACACACACACTCATACACTACGGACAATTTAGTCTACCCAATTCACCTGTACCGCATGTCTTTGGACTGTGGGGGAAACCGGAGCACCCGGAGGAAACCCACGCGAATGCAGGGAGAACATGCAAACTCCACACAGAAACGCCAACTGAGCCGAACCAGCGACCCAGCGACCTTTGTGCTGTGAGGCGACAGCACTACCTACTGTGCCACTGCTTCGCCGCTATTCTTATTATTTACAATATTTTAATTGCCCTGTTATGGCAATTATGTTTGTACTTAACAATAAAATCAATTCATTTCATGTTTATTATAGTGCTTTTACAATGTAGATTGAGTCAAAGCAGCTTAACATAGTAGTTTAAGTAAATTAAAACTGTGTCAAAATGGTTAAATTGTTAAAACTTTTCCAATAAATCTAAATGTTTGCGCTTAATATTGTTGCCTTTTATTGAATTTTATTTTTAATACGGTTTTTATTGAATGAGATGTCTCATTTTTGCATTACAATGTCTATAACATTTGCAAACAATTGTGAAATAAAGGTGCAATAATGTTCAAACATCATTTAGCATAACATGTATTTATGTAAATACAAACATAATATACTTATTAAGACCTGCACTTAAATAAAATAATAGTGATCACACAAATTAGATTTAAGATGTTTAAAGTTGCTGCAAACAGTTGCAAAGTTTTTAAAATAAAAAATAATCTGTGTTTTAAGTGGTTGCAATGATCCTATTTTTTTGGCCCACATCTGGTATTGAATAATATACTGTCACTCTGATAAACAGTAATAAGCAATTATAAAAATAATGATAACCTATGGATAAAAGGTCAACCAGGTGGTTATGATGCCTGTTATGCCATCGAAAGTTTCTTGTTCTGAAATAAGACAATTTTTTGGCACATAACCTTAAACTGAATGAAAAGGTCACAGTTTACAATGTTTCATTAGTTAATGTATTTACTAACAATAACTAACGAACAATACCATCCTAATCACATCATAATCTTTAACATTTACTAATGCCCCATTAAAATCCAAATTCATGCTTGCATTAGATAATGTGAACTAACAATAAACAACTGTATTTTCATTATATAACATCTAACATGAACAAATACTGTAATAAATGTATTGTTTATCATTTGTTTAATTAAGTAAATGCATTAAATAATACCTTATGGTAAAGTGTTACCAGTGAACATGATATATAAAAAACCCTGTGCACTACTCAATATTCTTTTTCAACTTGAAAAAAAGCTATTTTTCCTTTGATCCATATATACTTTTATATTTTAAAAACTTTTCAGTAACTACAAAGGTTGCATGAAAGTACATTTAGAAAGTAGCTGCACAGTAAAAAATGCTGGCTTGCACACAGTTGCTTCATGTTGTCCCGACATAAATTATTAAGTTAACTTTAGTTTTTACAGATTTAAGGTAACATAAAAAAATTAAGTTGTCCCCCAAAAAATTAAGAATTGTGTTGGTTCAACTCTTTTTTTTTAATAAGTCGTTTGAACAACTAGCAAAAGTAATTTTGGATTGTACAGTAACAACATTCATGAGAACTTTCAGAATGCACAAAAAATTCACTGCCACATTTTCATGAATGAAAAAAAATGTTAGTACAAATTATTTAACTTTAAATATAATTGACCAAAAAATATCAAGCAAGTTTTCTAATAAAACCCAGTTAAATAGCCTGATCTAAAGCAGAGGTACCCAAATTTTTCTGCATGAAGGGCCAAAAAATAAGTATAATTGAGAGCTGTGGGCCGAAGATAAATATACAAAACTATTTTACATCAAAGTTGCCATGGGTAATTTCCTAATTTATTTCCTAATGTTTATAAACAAACAGAAAAAAAATACTTTGAATAATATTACCTAATGCAGTGTAGCATTTTTCATTATAACTACTGCAATAAAAACAAACATAAACAAACACATTTTTAACACAGTGGAGTTGCTCAATCCTGAATACATTAGTCAAACAGAATGCCTTTGCCTTGATTTGCTCATAGTCCTCTATCCGTCAAGGGACAGTATGTACATTTAAACAAAATCTAATTAATTGACACCATTTAAATTGAAATGTTTAATTTCATTTAGCTTTTTTGTGGCTTAACACTGAAAAAAAAAAGGTTATAATCAAATTGAAATTACAATCTCTAAACCATCCCTATCATTCTCCCTCTTTTCTCAAATGGTATGGCGGACCAAATCGAAGGTTACCATGGGCCAACTTTGGCCCACGGGCCCTAGTTTGGGCATCTGTGACCTAACATGTATGTCTGGTATATAAAACCCAATTCAACATGAACAATTTAAAGAGGTATGAAGCATGTACCTGGAAAAATATCCTTAAAAGTTTTTATTTTTTTCATTTCAAACTACTTATTCTTTCCCACACTCATAGTCAATCTCTAAAGAATGTGATGATGACATTGTTGAGGTTTAACCACAGGCAAAGCAATAACCAATGAAGCGTAATCAACGTCACTTTCCTCCACTCGTTGGCTTCAAACTGTGATGAACAGGTCAACAAACAAACACCTCGTCTGTCTGTCTCTCTTGTGGAAATTTTGATATCATTATTTTTGTGTCTGTGTCTCCGGGCATGGGAGGCACCAGATCTGACTAGTGTGTTCTGATACAGGGCTGCGGAAACCACCATAATTAGACAAAACTGAGACGAGCGAAAGGAGTTGACAAAATCTAGCCCCAAGAGTTTTTGTCATTATGTTCTTCCTGTCACTGATGCTCCATCAAGGGATGAAAGTCGACACACCTTCCCCCAGGCCTCAAGCTGGAACCATACCATAAGAGCAGTGGTATTTTGCTTTCATAAAGCTACAATTGCTGCATGATTCATGTTTCACAGTAATGATGAATGGGATTGAGGGTTACATTAATAGCTGTCATTTAATGGGCTTTATGAAACAAATTTCTGAATGTAGAGATCATATAGGAAAAAATAGTCTCATTCACATTGTTTAAGAATAAAGCTGGCAGCTAATTGCCATGCATGTGCTAATCGAAACATTCAGTTCTGTCAAAAAAAAAGCTAACATTGTAGTGGTAAATACAATGATATATTTTTTTGTACAGGGACTACATTTTGTGGGGCTCAGCCACAAAATCAGCTCCCAGAACTCCCAGCAATTTGTTATGCTGTGTGTCTATTTTCTGTCACTACATTAGATGCTGAAATAAAGTGTTAGTAACAGAATTAAAATGTAATGCAATGTGTTTTCATATAGCGCATTTATCATGTATGTCCATACACCCAAAGCACTTCACAATCACCAGTGTCCAGTATCCACTTGGATAATGCGACGGCAGCCACAGGACAACAGTGCCAGTGCGCTTACCCCACACCAGCTATAGGTGGAGTGGAAAGAGGATGGCCATTATCGGTAATGGCCGATAGAGAGAATTTGGCCAGGACACCGAGGTGACACCTAGGGTGCACATTATACATTGACGATTGGGGCGTAATTTTTTTTTTGGTAATATTAGTTTTTGTAATACATGCTTCAGTGAATCAAATATATGTTTTAATTTAAATTACATCTAACTTATTAATAAACCATATTTAAGTTTTTAGTGTTTTGTGGGATATTTAGTGTATTCTGACCTACAGTATCCGGTTAGCTACTTCTGAGGTTACTGTAAGGGTGCTTTCACACCTACACTTTTGTTTCAGAACGTGTCTCGTTTGCCCAGCTAGCGCGGTTCGTTTGGCATATGTGAACAGGGCAATCGCGCTCTGTTCCGCGCCAAAGTAATCGCTCCGAGATCGCTTGAATGAGGTGGTCTCGGCTCGATTGAAACGAACCCTGGAGCGGTTCGATTGCAGTGAGAAAGCGATCCGATCCGAGCACGGTTATATCACAGTATTTTATGGATATGTAATAGGCTTAGAAGAGAGAATTATGAGTAGGGCGGGAAGTTTCGCGAATCTCCGGATGCCCGCAAACGAGTGATGATTTCCCGGTAATCTCGTGTCTCCCTCCCGGTCCTCAAATAGGCATCGTCGCGCACCCTTCTCCCCCTTCACCCCTCCCCACCGCGTCTCTCCTCAGAGACGTCGCGCGCGCGCTCCCTGTCAATCACCACCAAACCACCACCTCTCCTGACAGCTGAGCGGGACGCTGCAAAATAAACCCTGACACTCTGACCAATGTGAGGAGAGTTTACTCGCACGTGACTTGTTTTAGCTCTTTTGGTCCGATTAGAAATTTTGCAGTGTAAAAGCGAACCACTCTAAGAGCAAAGAGCAACAATGTAACAATTGTATTTCTGTTTCGGAACAACTGAATCGATTCACAGGTGTGAAAGCACCCTTAGTCAAACTATGCATCTAATTTGACTTTACTTTTAGGCTATATGTAGACACAAACAGCTATTTTTAGTTCTTGTGAACAGTTACGTTGTCTATTGGTGCTCCCGATCTGCCGATTTCAAACTGTTGATAGAGTTTTTTTCTGGCGGACTGATTGGTGCAATTTTTTATTCACAATATGAACAATTATAAGGGTGGTTATTTGTAAATTATTAATTAAATTTTTTCTATCAATTTTAATTATTACCATTATTATTTAAATACAAGAGCGAAGCAGTGGCGCAGTAGGTAATGCTGTCGCCTCACAGCAAGAAGGTCGCTGGGTTGCTGGTTCAAGCCTTGGCTCAGTTGGCGTTTCTTGGAGTTTGCATGTAGCTGAAAAGAGCTGACCCCCCTGTACATGTTGCTTTGGTGTCCTTCACGGGGGAACAAGCCTTAATTAGGAGGGTCTAACCCCCCAAACCCCCCTGTAATCTGTACTCTGGTCACACCCCTACACTTTTACGAAAAGTGCCATGGGATTTTTAATGACCACAAAGAGTCAGGACCTTGGTTTAACAATTTATCTGAAAGATGGCACTTACTAACAGACCAAAGGTTGAGCGCCACCCTGGTGGCCTCACTAACACAACTTCCAACAGCAACCTAGTTTTCTCACGTGTTCTTCCATCCAACCACTAAATAGGCTCAGCTCTGCTTAGCTTCAGTGAGAAACCGGTCTTGGGCTGCAAGGTGATATAACTGTGATCATATCAAGTGGCCATATATGGATGTGGCCAAAATCAAGCTTTGAATCTTCAGGCATATTTTAAAATTGTCTAAAAACTTAGCAATTAGCCGTTATAAATCACAAAAGAAAAATAAAGAAAAATGAACCCAACAATTTTTCACGTTTCATTAAAATCATTAAAGTCATTTGTAGTGTGTCAGAATCTGAACTAAAAAAAAAAAAATCAGGATTTTATATTTTGTCTTACGGTCAAACTTTGAGACACAATTCGACAAAAGAAGATGTGATGAACGTCCACATTGCCTTTTTAGCCCCTGGAGGGACCAACTCAATTTCCTGGCAATTTATGCATTTTTGATCTAGTGGCTAATTTGCTAATTTGTATTTGTATGGTCTCATTTGTACATTTAAGTAAAAATTGCTCAGGGCTGAGGTTTGAGGGCATGCCTCCTTTTAAAAAGGTATTCTTTCATACAAATGAATTCACATGAATTTGAAAGAATTAGTCTACTTTTCTGACAATTCGTCAAATAGTTGGGTTTCCTTTTGAGCCTGGACTTAAACACAGGATTGAACTAGCAACAAAAACAGTATGAATGCCACAAAAGATTACAGCACTTTAATTAGGGCCAAGTTGTGGCAGGTACTCATGCACAACTCTATTCTATTTTTATGTACAAATAATGCAATTTGTGTTTTAGCACAGTAAATTGCAAAAGAAAAAGTGCACTTTAAAGTCTGTACGTAATCAAAATGTTTCCAATGTTTATGTTGCTAGCCCACACTGTTATTCTCTAGGAGATTATTAATCTGTGCAAGCTAGTACACTGAAAAAAGTTTGTAAATCAAATCTGGCCATTTGCTTCCACATTTAGAGTGGTGGTTGGTTGTTGATCGATCAGATATGGTTGCGGCAGGAAGTTAACGAGAATTATTTATATATTTTATAAAATTTCCCATTAATTTTATTTTAGAAACATCTTCCCCTACCCCAACAGTAATGTAAAAGCAGTATTTATACTGAGTATTATTTATGTTAACTATTAAATTTCACAATAAATTTTATTTTCTTTAACGTCTACCCCTACCACAACCCTAAGGTAAAAATATCAATTATTGTCATACAGTGTCACAAAAATGATGCTATTTTGATGTGAGTACCTGCAGCTGTATCCTATATAGATTTTGCCACGGTAGTCCTTCTCTGTCAACATCAATTTAATGTTGTCCATAGTGAATTAATAGCAATACTCGTAAACACCCCCCTCTTACCCTTAGTTTGCTAGGAGGGAATGATGCCGTAAAAAAAGCCCTGTATCATACTCAATAATCATTTTCAGCTAGAAGAACATCAACAAACTGAAATATAAGTCTCTGCAACTTGGGGTTCATGCAGACTTTAAATACCAGGATGCTGCATTTATTTAACTGGGAAAAATGTGTACACACTATCTAGATTAGATAGGTGGATACAAGAAACATAAAATAAACTTTTTTAAAGTTCATACACAAGACGGTTGAGTTCATAGTTGACAAGTAACGTTGGCTTGAATATTGTATAAAGAGCAAGGACACAAGAACAGTAATTCATCTAGTAGTTCCTTAAAAAAACATCTCCTTCAAAGTTTTTCTACGGGGTTTATGGGGGGGGGGTCTTCAATTAATGACTAAAGTTGTCTAAGATGTTTAGCATAAATTTACACCCCAGACATTCTTATCCAGTTACTTATTCACATATGAATACATGTTGAAAAGATATTTTACCTCATGTGGCATTTTATGGTAGTTAATATTTTGGTCTTCATTCAAACTTTTTCAATCCTTTAACGAGAATAAAATACAAAAATCTAAATAAAAATTTATTTGTCTGATTGTTATGTCAGTAATCAAATAATTAGTTTACAAATAAGTCGTTTATACCTCGCCGCCGTAGACTGCTGGCGCTGTTCTCTGTCAAGCATAGGATTTGGTTTTTAGTCAGGCGGTCGGGAGGGCGTCTAAAAGAGGTCCTTTTTTCCGGTGACGTGTATTTTTGACAACGATATGTGAAACTAAACGAAACGGAAACAATAAAACATTGCATAACTTTCGATTAAAGCTTTTTAAAGCTGTTTTTGTTTATGCTGGTGTCTCTGACCGTCATTGAAGATGGAGACGCTTTACCATCAGACCAATAAGTGAGTTTATGATTATGATGATGATTGCTTTATTGGCTTTAATAGTTATCAGAACTATTCATTGTTTACGTAATTATACTAAATGTTGAGAGTTTTCATTATTTCTAATTAATATCTCACAAATAAAAGTCTCTTTAATCGCTTGTAAATGTCATAAGCTGATTTGAACTGAGAGCATCCGTTAACTACACAAATAGCTTCCTGTGTTCTTCATGTGTAAGACTAGTATTGATTATTAGCTGATATAACAGCTTATTATAGCTTGTCAGCTGGTCAATTTACTTATTGTTTCTTCAAACTATTAGTAGGCTCAATGGTGTGTAATTTTAGCATCAGCCTTAACAGCAGATGCGTCCTTTGAATTAGTGGGTATATATATATATATATATATATATATATATATATATATATATATATATATATATATATATATATATATATATCTGAAATGCTCCCTAACGACACTGAATAATGACTGTCATAATGTATTTTATATAATAAACACTCTCTCTATTCTCACTTATCATTGTCTTTAACTTCCAGACAAATTCAGGAGGTTCAGTCTCAGATGGGACGCCTTGAGAAAACAGACCGACAGTCAGTCCACTGTAAGTCTCTGTGTTTATACTTACAATAGCTTGAAAATCCTCAGTACCACAGAGACTAAATGATAAAAACAAACGTAATTATGCTCAGATATGGCCAGTTTGGTGTATGAATATGAATATAACCTTAAAGGTGCCTCATCCCACCCAGGATATCATTATCCTTTCGGGACTTTTGTTTTATGCCAAACCCCTTAATTAATCACATTATGTATTCATAGAGTATTATATTATTGTAGAGCATAATTGAAAGATTGCCAAAATAGCAAGTTGTTTAAAATCGTTGGAATTACTTGAAATTACCCCGTGATGGGGAAATAAATCAGATCTGTTGCAAAAATACAGTATATTCAATTCAGACTATCTGATATGGATCAATTGTCAATTGATTAATTGTGTATTAGGTAGCAAAAAGTAAACAATTACTACCTATCTCTAATCTGATATCAGATGAAGATATTGTAAACATTAACATAATGATGTCATTAGTCTTGAGAAATGTGCTATGCAACTAATGATATACTTATAAAAACTGACTCGTGGATGATTATTGGGCAAAGAACCACCTGTTCTGACGCTTGAAAAGATGTTTGAAAATGGTGAACTCATTGTCATGTTCAAGAAACTAGATTGAGATTATTTGAGCTTTGTGACTTCAATGTGGTCTGCAGCAATACTCAAGTAGACGACGATAAAAACAATGCTCATTTGGCATTAAAGGACCCAAGGTGTACCAAGAAAGTATCTTTCATTGGTCTAATGCGGTATGATTGTTGTTACTACAAATTCTGTTCCTATTGTTTGAATGTTGCCGCAGAAATTGAGACTCATCAGAACATCAGCCTTTTTTTAGTCCTCTGTTTTCCAATTTATGTCCTCAGTTTCCCTTTGTTAGCTGACAGAAGTCACTGATTTGCTCTTCTACTACTTCTGTAGCTCATCTGCTTCAAGGTGCAATTTTTTTAAGTGTCGAAAGATTCTCTTCTGCAGATCTTGGTTTTAACAAGTGAATGTTTGAGTTACTGTTGAACATATTCTCCTGTACTGGCATAAATCAAGCATTTTTTGCTCATAAAACTGCTGCTTACTAAATAATTCCACTCTTTTATGTTTTTGTTTTTTGGATAATTCTTTATAAACTCTATAGATGGTTGTGTGTGAAAATCCCAGTAGATCAACAGTTTCCAAAATACTCAGAGCGGCCTATCTATTTATTTCCCAATGTTGATGCTCATTTTGAACTTTAGCAGATCACCTTGACCTTGTCAAAATGCACTGATTTGCAGCAGTGTGATTGGTTTATATTTGACAAAGAAGCAAGTGTACCTAATAAAGTTGCCAATAAGTGTGCATTTTTATTCTCCCTATTTAGTTTTTACTGAGAGAAGCTTTTTTTATGCTGTATGTTTTTATAGTTATTATGTATTTGTAAATGTAAAATTTTTGTTTTTCTCCAAGTTCAATTGAAAAAAAAGTTTTGTATTTATTATATTGTTTGTGTAATGTTGAATCTAGATCTTCCATGAGAGCCTGTGATACTGATGTGGCAATAAACCTAAGTACAACCAAGTATTTCCTGTCATGTATCATTGTAATTAATGTAATTACAAGATGAGATATTTGCTGGCGGTGCACTGAGAAATTAGTTGTTTATGTGGCATTGCCCTTGTTTTGTTGATATTTAATCTCCACATGAATTTATATCGTCTCTTTTAAAAGATCAGAGAAAGCACACAAGCAACACTCATTTTTAATAACTCCACATATAACCAATCTAGATCAGTAAGCAACTATTTTAGGCCTTCTTTACACCAATATGCCTTTTAAAAATGTGTTTCCCACAACCCTCTATATGTGTTTTCCGTGATCATATCGCAAAAACATTTGGACCCCACTGTTTTCCACGTGATCACCTATATGTTAAACCACACACAAACTGGGTCAACCAATTATACATTAGCAGTCATCACGGTGCCACTGGCCAGCTGATTGCTGTAGAGAGCCAGGCTGGTGCCAGTGCAGGAAGGACAGGGAGGAGCGGTGGATGCTGGACATGAGGGTGGTGTGGTTTGTTGTGTATATGTGGGTTTGAGGTGGTGTTGTGGCTCATTGGTGGGTCTGAAGAAGATAACCGTTGCTGACCAATAGTGATGACATCATGTGAGATGTCATAGGCGGGAAGGATGCGTAACGTGCGCGTATGTCTGCCTGTGTGAGAGCCACTGTGAGATTGCATTGTCTCGGTGGGTGGGGGGTCAGGGCAGACTGCCTGAGTGATAAAACTTTCCCACCAGTCTGTGCTTCTCTCCAAGGAAGCTGCGCTCATTTTTAATCAGTGGATCTGCATGTCACTGCGCGATTTCCACTCTGGCTGTTTGTTTATTTTCACATCTTGCAAAGTACTGCAAATGTAATGAATATTAATATGCCATGGTGTGTGTGTGTTTATTTATAATATATATATTTATTTACACACACACACACACACACACACACACACACACACACAAATACCTACATGTATTCATGTTTTTTAATGTATTGATTTTTATTAATGAAATAATAACTCATATTTTACATGTACATTACATTTCCGGGTTTCTGCAAGTTTCTTGAAGTGAAATTTAAGACTTTTAAAGACCCTTTTAAGACCATTATAATTTAAATTTTAGACTTGTACAGGGCTAAACACTTTTTTCTTATTGGTTACTTCTGTAAATAGTTTTTTTTTTGTATTAATGGAAGATCATGTAAAGAGATGTGTTTCTTTAGTTTTCTTTCCATGCATAAGTAAAATTTTATTGGATAATTTGATGTAAAAATGTCAAACAGCAGTTGTAAATTGTATCTTTTTGCAATAAAAACAAATATAAAAAATGTTTTTAGATGAATTATTGGTGATTGGCTGTTTGCCCGATTGAGAAGCTTTACCTGGGAAAAGAAAAATTAAGACCTATTAAAAATGATTTGGACGCAGTGGCGCAGTAGGTAGTGCTGTCGCCTCACAGCAAGAAGGTCGCTGATTCGAGCCTCGGCTCAGTCGGGGTTTCTGTATGGAGTTTGCATGTTCTCCCTGTGTTTGTGTGAGTTTTCTCCGGGTGCTCCGGTTTCCCCCACAGTCCAAAGACATGTGGTACAGGTGAATTGGGTTGGCTAAGTTGTCCGTAGTGTACGAGTGTGTGTGTGGATGTTTCCCAGAGATGGGTTGCGGCTGGAAGGGCATCCGCTGTGTAAAAACGTGCTGGATAAGTTGGCGGTTCATTCCCTTCTGGTGATCCCAGATTAATAAAGGGACTAAGCCGACAAGAAAATGAATGAATAAAAATGAGTTAAGACTTTTTAAGGCCTAAAATTTTGTTTTTGAAATTTTAAACATTTTAAGATCTTGCGAACACTGCATTTGCTATCAGTGTTGTCTGATGTCTGATTTGTCAATCAAATCAGAATATAAAAAAAGATCTGTGTATATACGGTTGAAGTCAGAATTATTAGCCACCGTTTATTTTTTTCCCCAATTTCTGTTTAACAGAGAATTTTTTTTAACAAATTTCTAAACATAATAGTTTTAATTACTCATTTCTAATAACTGATTTATTTTGTCTTTGCCATTATGATGGTACATAATATTTTACTAGACATATTTTAAGACCCTTCTATACAGCTTAGTGACATTTAACGGCTTTACTAGGTTAATTAGGTTAACTAAGCAGGTTAGGGTAATTAGGCAAGTTATTGTATAACGATGGTTTGTTCTGTAGACTATCGAAAAAAAAAAGGGGCTCATAATTTTGACCTTAAATGGTTTTTAAAAAAATTAAAACTGCTTTTATCCTAGCTGAAATAAAACAAATAAGACTTTCTTTTTTTCCAGAAGAAAAAATATAATCAGACATTTTGTGAAAATGTCCTTGTTTTGTTAAACATTATTTTTTTCTCAAAGACAAATTACATATTGCTACACAGTTTGGTTTGGAACCAGCATGAATTAAATTGTTGTAAAGTTAGATACAATAGATTTAGATTTAAATTTCAAATAAATGCTGTTCTTTTAAACATTCCATTTACCCAAAAAATCAACAATAGCTGCTTTCTGAGCAGCAGATAATCATATTAGAAAGATTTAGATTATTAGAAAGATCCTGAGACACTGAAAACTGAAGATACTGTAAATTCAGTTTTGATCTTGTAAATTTGTGATGTGCTTAATATGATTGGTATTTGTTGTTTACTAATATATTCTGATCTTTGTGTTTTACTGCAGTACTGGAAAATGAGCTTCAAGCCAGAATTGATCAGATCTTTAATCAGCTGGAGCGCCTGGAGATTCTTGCCAGTAAAGAGCCACCAAACCGCCGCCAAAATGCCAAACTGTGAGTTTTAAAACTAAAACAAATCCACTATTAGCTTCATCAAGGATCCAATCCTTAGCTTTCTCAAAGAATAGCTAATTTCAGCAAAACATCCTTCCTGTCAGAAGATTCAGTCAAAATTCCTTTTGATCAGTAATCATTAACCACAAACATACAGCAGTTCAGTTATGTGGAAGCTGGACTATTGGAGTATTTGATAAAAGTGTACCTAAACGATATAGGTTCAAAGATCGGAAATTGAATGCGCTGCGCAATCAATTCTACCTTAAAAGTTGGCATGAAATGGAAGTCGAAATTGTCCTTTTTCCCATATCATGACATAGATCCAATTAAAATGATCCTGAAATGACGAAAAAAAATATAGGGCGGTGCATGGTTTTGTTCTTCGGTAACCAATCATTGGAAGATGCTACCAAAATGGAAAAAGACTGCACAAAAGTGAGACTATGCACTGATATCTCCATCCGAAAGGCATTCAACAGCACTACTATGTACAAATAAAAATAAACAGTGAATTTTGATTTCATGCCGACTTTTACCCTAAGAAGGTGGCGCACAGTTGCTTTGGCACGATTGTCCCTGTAGTAAATGCATATTGTAAGGTGTTTTGAATAAGAAAGCATCTGCCAAATGAAGACTAATGCCCCGTGGCGGTGAGATCCAGAGAAAACATTCCCTCTGCAGTCACGTCATCACCAGCATTCCTGCCGTGTGTGGCAAAGCCTGGCTAAAACACTGCACAAACACACCTGAGGCCAACACACCTGTTACTCACTCGCAAAACACTGAATTTCTGAAGGAACACACACTTCCTGTGTGTGTGTCAGTGTTCTCAAACACAAAAATGACATTATCTGTTCACATCCTGGGTTTGTGTTGGTAAGACCTATAATGTCAAGAAAGAGTTTAAATTGAAGAAATATAATTTTTATCTTGATTTTCCTTTTTGAACAATTAATTTATTTGAGAAGCAAAATGATTTATGAAATCAAGTTTTCTGAAAAATAAAAATAAAGTAAATTGTTTTACTTAAAGCTGCTACAGACTATAAGAAATTGATAATTTAAATTAATGTATCTTATTTAAATCTAGACCTTTTATGATTATTATTGTAATTGTTATAATTATTAAATTTATTATCTGTTTCTTTCTTTTTTGCCATTTATTTCTTATTTACTGTATATTTTATTATTTTTGATGTTCACATATTACATATCATATACATATTTAAAATCCTTTGTCAATACTGTACTAAATGTCATGTCAATAAAGCAACTTGAACTTGAGTTGAATTGAGAGAGAGATAGAGATACACACAACTTCATTCTAATTTGTTCTCTAAATATTATTTATTTTTGTAAAAGTATCAGAATAAAAATGTTTTGAAACTATGCATTTTATAATATGGTGCAGTAATCCCACAGTTTCAGCAAACAACTTCCTCTTCAAACTTCTTCAATGATATATAAACAAGTTGTTCACAAGTGTTGCATCAGCTGTAAAACCCTCAGGCTTTTTCTGAAAGAAATTCAGTGTGTTTTTCTTTGTGCAGCCGTGTTGATCAGTTAAAGTACGATGTGCAGCATCTTCAGACAGCCTTGAGGAACTTCCAGCACAGAAGATACGCTCACGAGGCTCAGGAAAGAGAACGAGAGGAGCTCTTGAGTCGAAGTTTCACAACAAATGTCAGTATAGACCACACACACACACACACACACACACACTCGTTCACTCATCAGTCTCCAAACACACAAAACGATAAGACTTTTGATGCCATTGTGTGCTTTAAATGCAGGACGCAGACACCTCAATCCCTATCGATGAGACTTTACAGTTCAATAGCAGTCTACAAAACGCTCACAGAGGAATGGATGATCTGTTGGGTTCGGGCTCCAGCATCCTGAATGGCCTGAGAGACCAGAGGAGCACACTTAAGGTGTGTGTGAGAGACACAGAATACAGGGCGGATTTCAGCCTAGAGCGGGAAGGAGGGGGATTTTTTTTTCATCTTCTTATCAGGGTGTTTCTAAACATTTCAAATAGTGCTTGACTGATTGTTGATAAAAGTGCTGATGACTGATATAATAGGCTTTAATGATGGCAAACTCACATGTATACAAGATCCGTGAAACCGCATCTATTGGTAATTTTTTTAATTAAATAAATGACAGTAAATAATTTATGCACTCAATAGTAGGTGTTAAACATTTTAAACTTGACAATGTTTTAATTGTTTTAAAAGTTAATAATTTTATATTATCCGTGCTCGTGTTAATTTTAGTTAACATATTGGTAGTTGTTTTTTATTTCTATTTGTTTTTGGTAAAAAAAAAAAAAAAAAAAAAATATATATATATATATATATATATATATATATATATATATATAAAAAATAAAAATTCTAGACATCTCATCTGAAGTATACTGGGACTGTTATAAATGTCAAGCAAGCAGAACATACAGAGCAGTAGATGTTTGTGTTTTTGTTGTCAAATGGGAGAATGTGTATTTGTATACAGTTTTTATTAGTTTTTTTTTTTTTTTTTTTTTTGTAGTGCATATGCTACTCTCATAGTGTACAAATGTCAAAACAAAAAGTATTGTAATATGCATGGCAGGCCCATAGGGGACAGTGCCAATTTGTAAAGAAAGAAACGCACACAGTCCTGTAGTTCACAATTGTTGTTTTGGTTTTCAAGTAATCATATAATGCTTGTATACAAGCTGTGACCCAAATGGCACACTATACACTATGCACTTCTGCACTATGTACTTATGCTTTTATGGCTCATTTCCACTGACTGGTACAGTACGGTATGGTTTGGGTTGGTACAGGTCACATTTATCAGGCTTGTGTTTACACTACTAAGGGTACCCCTTTGGTGGGTGTGGTTTATGACAAAGTTTCAGTCGCATCATTCTCGCTCAAGAAAAGGTCTACAGTAAAGCTGTACGGGTTGATTACATATCATATGAAAAGCACTTCTCACAAAACAGACGCTTTATACATATAAATACTTGTGTATAAATGTTTATTAAAAACTTTTCTATAGGCAGGACTTGTTTATAACTGCAGTGTCAATGACAGCGCGAAATAGCCTACAGCAACGTCTGTAATTATATAAAATAAATAAATGAACATATATGAACACATACAGCCTCTTACAGTCTCTGATGTTACCAACTACAGAAAAACTACACACAGCATACATTTCGTCCTAAATTAGGTTCAAAAACAACACAAAATATTGCCTACAGTCAGTGAAAACCTCTCATCTGTCTCTGTACAGCAGCACATGCAACCTCTGTTACAGAGTCATACCATCAATCCCTGTTCATATTAGTCCAAAACGTGATGATAATAATTAAACAAGGGAGTTTGTTCACATTTGCTGAAGAAATACCGTTCTCCTTTTTTCCTGGCTTCTCCTTTTTTTCGCGCTTTATTCTCACGTTTGTCAGTGTCTAACATGATCGGGTTTCAAAAGCATGTAAATAATCAAGCGCATGTTATTATTATCAGCTCAAGAAGTTTGTTGTTTCAGACATAGACGCGCAATGAGCACAAGCAAAAAAGCGAAACCGCTCGCCCTCAGACTGGCTCGTAAAAAACTACAAGTCCCAGGGTAGATTCTGCTCTACTCCATGGCTTTGTGGCTGTTCATCAACACAATGACAAGGTTTGTTTGAGCCCGAATCAACCATGGCTCGTTATTATATATAATTCCGCTGTAATCTCTCGGCTGTGTATTTTAAACATGGCGGGTTTTTTGTTTTCATTCTGGCTTGTTGTGTAAGCGAATGATCTCTGTAAACCAATAGCGTTCAGCTGCGCGTCTAGCTCCGCCTTTTGGTACCCTTTTGAAAGGGTGACAAAAAAGTAGTATGGTACGGTACGCCTTTTGACAGTGGAAACAGCCATAAAAGCGTAACGAACTGTACCGTACCACTCAGTGGAAACGGGCTATAGTTTTTACTAAGCGGAAAGTCAAACTGTTTCCCTGATGATGTTTGACAATTGTCAAATTAGTGAAATCAATTACCAAACAACCAAATAATATCTGCCATGAGTATAACCACATTCACCATCGGGAGGTGGTATAATCATTCTAGGAGGAGAATTGTGCTTTCACAAAACAAAATAGATAAAGTTATCCAACATGTGTGCCCGATAGCTTAGACTCTTCCGCTACATAAGCAAAGCTGCTGTCATTGATTGTATCCATCAATCCACACTTCTTTTTAATGGTTGAATAAGTGCATCATCCGGGTATTTAAAGTGAACTTATTATATTAGTTTTCAGTGTGATTGCACTACTTACACTATTTATACTACATGCCCATACACATCATGCACATAACATTAGCATTTTCCTTCATATTGTTTACATGAAGGTGAAAATGATAGAATTCTCAAAAACGTATAACTTCGAAACCTGCTTTCAAAAAATAGCATTGTAAGTCTGCCACAAACATTGATGATATGTAAATAAATGGGCTAAACTCTTTAAAAAATAACTGTAAATCAGTGGCTCTTTTTATATTCCCTACATGCATTGACCAAATAGACTAGTGTGTTACACTTTTTTTTTAATTGTTTATTTAATTGTCTTACGTTGGCATTGTAAGCATATGATTTAAAACATATTTATATACTTTTTTTGGTCAAACATTTGTTTTTTAATACCTCAAAGCATGTCATCGTCTGCGTCCCCCTTAACTATGGCGGGTCGTGAAAAGGGTTGAGCTGATAAACGTGAGAAATCGAAAGAGATTTTCAAAATGCATCGTTATTCTCTTTTGGATCACTTCGCTTTTAACAGTAGATGGCACTGTATGCTTTACAAACAGCTCTATTCTGCTCATCTTACACCACTTGAACCTAAAATAATAATAACATTTTAATAAAGTGAGGAAAGTTTTAAGTGAATTACAAGAATGTTCATAATGAAGCTCCGGTCACACTGGACTTTTCTCCCCATAGACTTCCATTCATACGCACGCAAATGGATCAGACTTTAAACGCAAGGTCATGCGGCAAGTTTCGCAGTTCGTTGCGTTGGAAAGTTAAATCTTAGTGAACTCTGTACACCCAAAATAATTCCTCCAAAATCTGCAGATTTTTTACAAAATTCTCTGCAAAAATGGCAAAAAATGTCCACATATTCTGTCTGGCCCTACCTATTAGTCAGTTATCAATAACTGCAGTGGTCTAAGGTCACGCCTGCACATTTAGACACTGACTGTGTGTTTCCAGGGAGGAGTGTAAGCTCTTCCTGAAGCTCCTCTGATATCACGGAGCGTGAGAGTCTTTTGGGAAAATGGGGATGATATGTACGTTAGATATTCCTGTCAATGAATCTATTCCTCAAAGTATTTAAAAATATTGTAACTTCTTTTTTTTTTTTTTTTTAGGGCACACATAAAAAGATGTTGGATGTGGCGAACATGTTGGGTTTGTCGAACACGGTCATGCGTTTGATTGAGAAGCGAGCGTCACAGGACAAATTCATCATGATGGCTGGAATGCTGGCTACTTGTGTGGTCATGTTTCTGGTGGTGAAATACCTTAGCTGAACTTTTTCAGTTTTCTCTGATTCTGTCTCTTGATGGTGTCTGCAACTCATTCCGGTTTTCGTGGCACGTGCATCCCATCTGTGAAAAAAATGTACAGGTTTAAAGAAAAATCACACAACTGCCTATTGCAGGTGAACTGCCAGATCGTCTTCACAAATCTTTAGCATCTGTCTTAAAAAAAAAACATTGAATCCTTTCATAACTTTCCTCTCGGATTCTCAGATTTGTGTGACTGCTATTTATGTTGGAGTCTCTGCTAATCTATAAACATCAGCCTAGCCGCTAGGTGTGGCTGTTACTAGAATAGCAGCAGCGCTAATAGTCATTATTAATAGAATATTAAAAGACAATTGTTAAACTAGAGCAGGGGTGCTCAATCCTGTTCCCGGAGAGCTACATTACCTTCCTGCAGTATTCAGCTCCAACCTTGATCAAACACACCTGAACCAATTAATTAGGACCTGAAAAGCACTTGATAATTACAGGCAGGTGTGTTGGATAAGGGTTGCAACTTAAACGGGCTTGAGCACCCCTGGACTAGAGTATTGGTTTGTCATTTGGCTCTACATCGCCACCTTTTGGACAGCAAAAATGCTTTTTTGTACTGTGTTGTTCACGACTCTCTTCTAAGCTGTACATACAGATTTATTGGAAATGCTGTGCAATAAAGTCAAACACACACACATATATCCAGCTGCCCTCAAATGTAACTTACTTGTTTGATGCTGTTGTATTTTGAGTGTGTTCGGCAGCATCTAAGCAAGAGCCACAGCCTCTGGCCAACAGGAAATGAAACGTCTTATTGGACATCTGCTGCATGGATCTTGACGCTCTGTGTGCGGCTGTGCACACATTCACACATGGTGAGGACACCAGAAGCCTCTGCAGTGTCTTCCTGTGTCACTTCTACATCATGCTGGTGTTTGAAAATCATGTGCTTTTTATTATTATTATTATTGAGGTAATATGACAATGTTTACTTAAACCGCATGTATACACAACCGAACTTTTAAAAAAACTGAATGCCAACGTTTAGCATTTAGAAATATTACAAAATCATGCGCTGTTGATGAAAGAGTTGGGCAACAGGTAGCATAAATGGCTAGGACGAACTCAGTCCTGGAGGGCCGGTGTCCTGCACAGCTTAGCTTCCTTTTCCACGCCTGTATGAAAGTTTCTAGTATACCTTGAGAGAGCTTAATTAGCTGATTCAGCTATGTTTAATAGGGGTTGGATCTAAAATATGGAGGACAACAGCCCTCCAGGACACAGCCCTCTTTGGCTAGTACATCATTTCTCACTGTTCTTTTCTTCTGTTGAACACAAATATAGTATTTTGATAAATGTAGGAAAACAGCTGTCATCGAGATCCATGTTAGGTAAAAGAACACTACATTGACTGCTACTGAGTTTGAACATACTTAAAAATATCTTCTTTTGTTTTAGATTGGGGAAAAAAAACATACATTTTGGAAGCATTAAAGATGAGTAGATGAGTAAATTTTCCCTAAACTGTACCTTTTATTTTTGTTTTATAGCTAAAGGTGTTCATTTAGTTTTGGCTGTATGTAGTTGATTTGTAGCCAATGACTTGCAACATATGAATAAATGGGGTGTCATGGTGGCACAGTGGGTAGCCCGATCGCCTCGCAGCAAGAAGGTTGCTGGTTTGAGCCCTGGTTGGGTGAGTTGGCATTTCTGTGTGGAGTTTGCATGTTCTCCCTGTGTTTGCATGGGCTTCTTTCGGGTGCCCTGGTTTCCCCCACAGTTCAAAGACTTGTGCCATGGCTGAATTAAGCTAAACTGTTTTTGTACGTGTAAATGAGTGTATGGGTGTTTCCCAGTGTTGGGTTGTGGCTGGAAGGGCATCCGCTGCGTAAAACATATGCTGGATAAGTTGGCAGTTCATTCCACTGTGGCAGCCCCTGATTAATATAGGGACTAAGCCATAATTAAAATGAATAGACAAAGACCAGTTTCAGCAATTTGGATGGCATGAGTGGTCTTTGCAGATAATCCTAAATCTTTCAATTTAATACTATTTTTGAAGCAATATAATAATAATAATTCATTGTAAATTAAAAGTGTTGCAAATAATTAGAATCAGGGTTCATACACATTTTTTACAACTAATATTCCATGATTGTTCCATGACTATTTCAGGACATTCAAGTAAATTTTCATGACCTAATGTTTAATGTCTAATAATAATGAAAAACAATACATGTTTAAATGTATTAAAGCATATCATAAAACACAAAAAAATATTTAGATTGAATTTATTTTTTTATCAATTGTATGAAAGATTTATTTACAAAATGCTTACACATCACGGTGGTTCTTTCTCGCTGTGCCACCTCTGAAATTGAGAAGGAAAATGAGGAAAGGAAAATGAATGAATGCTTTGGCCAAAGACAGAAAAGAAGTAAAGACAACTAACCTATATTGAAGTTTACAGATATTTGTTGAACTAATTTCAATGATTTTTCAAAAGCTTTGTTGTTTTTTTTTTTTTTTTTTTTTTACTTTTCCAGGCCTGGAAAATGCCATGTCAGAATTCCATGACTTTTCCAGGTTTTCCATGACCGCATGAACCCTTTAGAAATGTACACCCATCAAGAAAGTGGACCAATGTTTTCAAGTTTTCAATCAACACATTTTTTACTCCTTTTTAACATTATAAATATTTTTCAATTTTGTTTTTTCCACTGTGTTGAGCGATTAATCTTTACTGCACATGTAGACCAAACTTGCATTAATACCCGTTTTAATATTAAGGTTGACAGAAAGATAAACTCATGCAAGCTCATTGACATTATAAATATACCTGATATCCCTTTTTTAAAAATGAAACTTTATTACCTGATTTTAACTTAATTACCTGATCTAATTACCTAACATAGTTACCTGATCTTTAACAAGCTTAAAAAAATTGCCTGATCTTAAAATGTCTGATTTTAAAATAATTATCACCTGTTTAATTAAACAATGACTCAAATCTTTACACATAATATTTTAGAGTAGGAATAATGCATATAAAACAATTACATAAAAAAATCTTAATGTAATGTAAGCCAGGAAAGTATGATGATAACCGTTTTTTCTTATTACAGCTTTTTTTTCTTTAATAGTTGCAACGGGAGCTGAAATTAGACACAATTACAACATAATTCTCAGACTTGGGTGAACTATCCTGTTAAGCTTTGAAAGACCGTTTTAGTTTTATGATTCCTGGTAAAAACCTTTAAAAATGACCCTACACTATTAAACTGATTGAAGTTCCAACAGTGCCATCTTGTGTTAGAATACAATACAGCCGTGCAACTCAAATCCATTATTCTGAATTGCTATGAATAGAAGGCTATTACGAGTATAGGGTTTAGTTTAGGCACAGACGACCTTGCAATGTGTCTCGCTTTAAATAAAATCATACACCAGAATTACAAGTCAAAGTTTTATTTGCTGATGCGTCAAGGAAGAATTAAAAAAAGCTCATGTCACTGCTGCCATTTACAGTGCAACGTCACCAAAAGTTCTGCCACATTCCATAGACACTCAAGTCCACTAAAGTACCAACCCTGATCATTTTCACATATGCTTCCCCCTCCTCCCCCCATTTCATTATTTTTATTAGCAGGTGTTACAAACCTTTATTTTACATAGTTTCACTACGTTACCTTTATTTACATTTAACTAATCTTACAGAAAGAAACATTATTCAAAAAAATAAAAATAATTTAAAATCAAATAGAAAACAAATTATTGCAGAATTCTACAATCATACAGTTGTTACAAGATGCAAAAACAGCATCTCACTGTACATTTCTTTTTCAGTGCAAGATTTCACAATTTCAATATCAAGGGATGGGAATTTTCAAATCCCAAAATGTAACTTATGCAGTTTTGACAGCCTGTGACATTATAAAAACTTGACATCAATATGAGATGTCTCTTCCATTTACTATTTTCAGATCATTTATACTAGTTTACAACCAACCAGCAAAAATAGCTTAACACAGTTGAGTGCTGAGTATGGCTTTTATTGTATTAATCTTGTTCGTTTGTTACCTTTTGCTCAGAATATGATGCGATGACTTCTGAGAATTGGAATGAGCTGAAACGATTAAATAGTTTGATAATCCTTCAGCAAACCGTAAGTCAGTTTATCATTACCTGGTTCTTAAATAGCAGGCTTGAGTATCTTTGCATATTCATACAATGAGTTATTTCATAAACCTTACAACTTTCAGAAAGGCTTGATACACGGAAAAACAAAGTCTCCAAAAATGACTTTTCATATCAACTGTATCCAACCACACCAAAAGCCCACAACAAAGATCCCGATTATGGCTTCAGTCTGCGAGCTTCTGGATAGAAGAAGCACATCAGACAAATAATAATAATAGTTATAATGACAAACCATAGAAAAAGAAACAATATACCAGTGGTTCTCTACTTGTAAGATCCAAGTCTTGGCCTACAAACCAACTCTTAAAGCCCATCCGCCTTTGTGTGAATATATATAAACAATGTTACATACCTCAACCTAACTCCTGACCATACAATTTCATTACATTACAATCTCAAAAGACCGCCAAGATTATACTCTGTCTTCAGTTAAACAATCCTGAACAGTCCTGTTTAGGTCACTCAAAGGTAGAGGTTGAAAAGGACAGTTGAACACTGTGGATCACTAGACTGGGACACCCAGTAGCTAAATCTCTTCAGCTTTCACTACTTTGACAAAAGCTTGATGTTCAGGAGCCATGATTTGGAGGGTGCTGAAGGTCTTGCCCTGAGAAGATAGGATGAAGAAGAGGATGTAGCTGTAGAGCTGCTGCTGCTGCAGCACTGGCTGGCCGGGGGGCAAAGAGGGTTGGGTACAGAGCAGCATGGGGGACGTGATGTAGAGCAAGAGGGGTATGATGGAGCGCAGAGGCTGGTATAATATGTATGGGTTGGCCTGAAAGGAAGGCAGTGTGATGGGCTGGAATCAGGCCAGTGTGTCCTAAAGAGTGACCAAGTGAATGGCCCAAAGAATGGCCCAATGGCGACAAGGAGATAGGGGTTAGGTGATGTTGAGGTATGTGGTGCACCTGGGCTAGCTGGGCATGGTGTGGATGATGTGCAGTATGAGGATGGATGCCCATGGCTGTAGCAGCAGCATGGTGCTGTAAGATGGCGTGCTGCACTGTAGTAATAGAGGTAGCAGAAGCTGCAGAAACAGTGGGTTGCTGGATGTGGATTTGCTGCAGTGCAGTTGGTGGTGGTGGTGGGGCAGGGGCAAGATTAGCTGCTGCTGCCAAATTAGCTGCTGCGGCTGCAGCTGAGGGAAAGCTCTTCACCTGCTTGGCCAACAGTTGCTGTTGAATATGCTGTTGGGCTGCCTGCTGCAACTTGCTGTACTTCTCCATTTCCTCTGGGGTGAAGGTGATTGGTTGACTTTCTAAAGGTGCAAGACCATCCTCTTCAGCTTCCATGCCCATGTCTCCATCCTCCATAGTAGCAGGGTAACCAGGGTAGGCATGCATAGTAGGTTGTTGACCTATATCAGGCCCCATTAGATGCCCATCTAGCATGTGATTATTGGGGTCTTGTCTCTCACCTTGGTATTGTGACATCATCATTGCTGGATCCTGCTCATATTGTGGTTGAGACTCATGAAGAACTGGAGGGTCTGAGGATGGATGTCTGGGCTCCTCGAGCACGGCTGCACTTGATACAGCCTCCTCCAGCTGCTGCTTTTGTTGTTGAACTGCTGGTTGAGGTGGTGGAGGAGGGGGAGGAAATTCACGGATAGGTTCTACCAGGATAACTTCACTACTATCAGAGATTTTGCTCTGCTCAGACTTTACACCATCAGTTGAACGTGTAAAAGGAAGTAATGGGGGCTTCTTTCCTGCTTGGAGCTTGCCAAAAAGAGGTAACATACTTTTGTTTCCAAGGGCGGGGGGGAGTTTGGGGCCAAAGTATCCCTGTGGAGGATCCTTGATCTTGATGCCCGTCTTAGTGCCTGCACCAGATTGATCCCCTCCTTTTCTAGATTGAATTCGCTCCAAGAGTTGTCGGGCTGTGAATGAATTTCGATGTTCTGCAGCACCTCCTCCCTCCTTTGAAGAAGCTCCACCACCTCTTGTTCCTAGTGTCGATGAAGAGTTGCTGTTTCGGTTTTGTGTGCGGGAAGAGGATCTTGGAGACTGAGATCGGTAAATTCGTGACCGATTGAAATCCCGCCGCCGTGTTGAGCTGTCAGATCGCCGACTGTGACCATGCCGATGTGGAGAGCCCTTGGTAGAGCTAGATGAACGACTAGCAGAGCTACGGCTGCGACTGTAGCTACTGCGTCTGTAAGAACGAGCACTGCTACTCCAACTACTTCGACTGGAGCTGCGACTACTACTCCTTTGGTGTCTCCGTCGATGATGTTTTCTGCGGCTTCGAGAGCGCGATCGTGAACGCGAGTCCTCTTCTGAAGAAGATGAGTAACGTCGCCTGTGAGATCGGCCACCATCACGCCTGTCATAGTCTGAGTCTGAGGAAGGCCTTCTTGATCTGTGGCGACGTCCTTCACTGTAGTCACTGTAACTGTCTGTGTAGCTACGGCTACGGCGACTGTAAGCACTGCTCCCTGCTGAGGAACGCTCAGAGCTAGTAGAGTAAGATCGGCTGTGTGACTTTTGACCTCTGTGGCGTCTATGGTTGTGGTCTCCTCTATGGGATGACCTACTACGTGAACGTCCAGAATCATCACTTCGGTGTCTGCGCTGCTCACGTGTCGGTGTGGAGCGACGTTGAGGTGGTCGAGACCGTTGAGAGGATGATCCTCCATCCTCCTCGCTGTCGCTACTTGGAGGTTGACCTCCCCCTAAGCTCTTTTGGGCTGAAGCAGAGCATGAGGCAGCAGGTGTGTTGGTGTCAGATTTAAGACGCTTAGTACCATTGTGCTCCTCTGTAGAGCTGGGCTTTCCTGCACTGGTTTGCTCAACTCCAGACATTTTGTGGGACCGTTTTCTCTTTACTCCCTCATTGGTTGCGCCTACTCCAGATGACTGAGCAGTGGCTACTCCATCTTTGTCATCCTTGGCTTTCTCTTTGTCCTTATTGCCCTCTTCCTCTGGTGCAACTCCTTCAGCGTCACGTGGTTTATTTTTGCTTTTCTTCCTTTTATGCTTCTTCTTTTTTTTAGTTTTTCCACCTGGTGTCTCATTCACTAACTCACCCTCCACTGCTGCTTTCTCTTTGCGTTTAGAATGCTTGCCTGACTTTTTGTGTTTCTTCTTTTTCTTTTTCTTAGACCCTGCAGTCACATCATCATTACTTGGTAATTTCTGCTCATTGTTCTCTCTCTCAGCACCCTCGACTTTCAGTGAGGATTGTTCTTTTTGAGACGTACTGGGTCCTCCAACTGTTTTAGTAGTACACGCAACACCACTAGTGTCAGGAGTGCTGTCTGTTTTTTCAGGCTTAGACGCCTCTTGTTCTTCAGTGCTAACTGGCTTGACAGGTTTGCTATTTTTGCCTGCCCAGTTGCCTTTGTTTCTTGAAAGCTTGAAGTCAAAGTAAAGTGGATTACAGCTGTAGGAAAGGGCTGGCTGGGCCTTAGTAAACTCCAACAACTCAGAAGGCCATTGCAAGGTAGTGCTTTCATCTTTACTTAACACAGGGAAAAAAGGCCCAGTTGGCATGCGGGGACCTGTATCTGGAGGTTGGGACATCACTTGCTTGCTGTCAGTTGGTTGGGGCAAGCTTTCCACTTCTGTAGTATCATCATGTCCTGTCGACATACTACCAGATTCTTCATCTGCCTTTTCTTTAGCTGATGCAGAAGAGGGAGTAGTGTTTTGAGCCTGTGTAGGTTCATTCTCAGTATCTTTTTCAGATGTGTCAATGGTTACTTCAATATGTTTTTGCTCTCCATCATTGCCTACTTCTGCCTTCTCGTCTTTTACTCCATCCTCCTTCTCATCACACTGGTCAGAAGCCTTCATAAAAAGCAGAAACTGAAAATGAGGCTTGACTCGACAATGTGCAGGTGGTACATAATGATAATACTGTGGCTCTTGTCCAGAGTAACCTTCTTCCTTTTTCATCATCATCTTTAGCTTGTTTAAAGTAGAGGCCAGGGTTCCTCCATCGTCTGGTTGTAACTGCTCTTCATCGCCCTCACTACCACCACCACCCCCACTCCCACCTTCCTCCAAACTAATGGCAACTGCCTGTGGGATATCATTGGTAGATGTCATTCCTACATCCTCTACTCCAGTATTTTCTCCTCCCTCTTCCTGTCCTTCTTCACCTTCTACTGTCTCTTCAGCATGGTCTGCAAAGACAGCTGCAGCCGTTTCAAGTTTTACTGGGGCTTTTTTAGCAAAAGAGAATGACACACTGACTTTGGGAGCTTGTGTGCCTCCAGAGGGAGTTGGAGAAGAGCTACTTTTATTAAACCCAAAGCTAATGGAAGGGCCTGATCTAGGGGAACCTTGACCACCAACACCACATGCTGACTTTTCTTCAAAAGAATCTGTACTGATATCCACTGTCATAGGTACACCATCCATTGAGTCTTCACCCTTTTCTCCATCTACTGCCACTGTGGTGGTTTTAAACATGGGACCACTGCCAGGAACACTGCAAAAGAAAAACAAAAACAAAATGAGACAATTAATGTTACAATTAATGATGCTTGCAGGGAAAACATTAGATGTCTCAGCACTGTCCTTACTGGTCTTGTTGTTTCCTCTGTTCAGCCAATTCATGAAGCCGCCGTAGCATCTTCTCCTGTTTTTTGCCATCCTTTCTAGAACGAGAAGACACATTCCGAGCAAACTCTCTCTGCTTTAGCTCCTTCAGTCTCTGTAGAATTAGACAAATAATATGAACTTCTTGACATCATAAGTAATATCATCACATAAATTATCTTTGTGTTAAAATATGCATTGTTTCCGAATGTTATTCAGTGGCACTCTGCATATGTCAACCTTTCATACCTGCTTGTGTGCATGATCGTAGGAGTTGATGTGATTGTCAAACTCCTGATGCTTCTGGTATTGCTTATCACACAGTTCACAGTAGAAGTTGGCCCTTAGGTCCTCTAAAGCTTTGGCAATAGCTTTTTCTTTCTCTGCAAAATCCTGCAAAATGGAACAACACATATCAAAGAATTAATAATTGATAAAGATGGGTATAAAAACTAGACATATAGGATCGTTTGCCAAGAAAGTTATAAGTAACTAGTTTGTGTAAAGGAGATTTAAGAAATGCATATTAACATGCTTATATAGTTAGTCTGCAGTGGAACAAGAGAAGCTTTGTATCTGTCCAAGGGTAGTGATCGTGACAAATCGATCTCAAACATTAACAGAATTTTAACTAGATAAAACTCTACAACAAGAGGCAAGAGTAAGACTGGAAAGACAGGGAAATTATGTACAGAGAATTGACAGCAAAATGTGTAGGCAATGAACATTGTTGCTATAATTGGTTCTCACCTTGTATTTTTGACGCAGTTCCTCAGTGTCTTCTTTTTCCACTTCCAATACTCGACGCTTCTCTGTGGCATCTTCTGCATAGTCCAGCTGGGCACAAATGTTTAGGGGCCAAACATTAATACTTACATTCACAATTATAAGTAAAGAAAGTACAAGGAACAGTCTTCTCACCTCCATTTCCATTCGCCCCATTCCCATGACGTCATATTTGAGCACGATCGGGACAGGGTCAGTTCGTCCTATGAGGTGGGGGGGAGAGGAAGAGAGAGATAGTACAGAGGTTAGACTATTGTTCAATATAAGAGAAAACTCGGGGCGGGACAGCCTGCTTAGAGCACAGGGTGCTGGGTTAGAGAGACTGCCTTCAAGTGCAAGAGACCAGAAAGCTACAGTGAACCAAACTCTAGCCATTCTCACAGCTTCATGTGCAGCTCACCCCTAAAAGGCCATTCCAGGTGCTGAAATATCTTTGGAACTAAGGCTAATTTTTAATTGTTTACCATTTGAGTTGGCTGCCAATTTAGTTTGTAATAACTGTATACACAAAACAACTATAAGATGATTCTATTGAACGAAGCAAGGGACAGAAAACAAGATGGGGAAGGTTGGACTGAAATTTGACTGAATTTGCTGCAGTGTCCCTACAGTATCCTGTTTAAGGTAATCTTATCCCTCCCCTTCTTACTTTTCTGTTATCGCCCTCCCTCTCTTTTAACCATGTCTCCTTCTCAATTAAAAATGCATTGTGTACTGTCCAACAGATTCTCTTAACTCGGATTGAAGGGGAGCATATTTGGGTTGCTAGAGGGAGTACCTCAGAAAGGGAGGAGATATCAGCATTTACAGCATCTTTTCACAGCACTGCGACAACACTGAATACCAGTCTGTCTTTCCTATATAATACATTAATCATGATTTAAACTCTTTCTAAACCGCACATCAACTGATTTGCCTACCTGTCTGCAGGCCACACCTGGATGCAAATGAACCTATTAAGTATTATTTCAGTATGTGAAATAGTACTTTACTTTAGTAGTTTTATATACACAAGCTGTGAAAAGACCTAGATCAGAGGAAAAGTAACATCAGAAAAAATGAACACAAATCAGAATGAAACAAAAAAAAAGACAATCAAAACTACACTGAAGATTGACACATAATTGCTTAATCCACTCATAACCAGCCAAACGAAGCTGAGAGAGAAATAGAGAGAGTGAGAGAAAAAAAGAAAGAGACACAGGGAGTGAGAGAAAAGACGGAGAACAGAGAGAATAAGGACACAAGCACTGAGCTACAGCAGCAGAGTGGCGTGAAAGGCCAGAGGTTGCCATGTTGACAGTGCAGGGTTGGGGAAAGGATGTACTTACCTGGCAGAGTGTGGGGATGGGGTGGGGTGGCAAACATACAGACACAGAGACAGGAAAGGGTGTGTGGGGGGGGGACTCAAATAAAGGAAAAAAGGCACAAGAAATGAAGTCATACTAATTGCGGCTGCACAGGCTAGCACCATGGTCACGGTCAATCAAACTTCAATCAATCATTTGGATTTCAGTTTTCTTTTTCTGTCAGTCTTTTTTTCTCAATTTTTTGGGGGAGTCATTCAAATTTTAAAAGGAGGATCAGTTCATACCCTTGGGCTGATGTAATGACGATAAAAAGCAACAAAAAAAAAGTCATAGCACTCTAAAGGGCTTGGGATTTTACAGATTTATTTATTTTTTGTTAATGAATTAGTTGGTAATAAATATATATCCACAGATACTTTACAATTTGATGCATGTAATTACATTGTCATGAATATAATCAATTAAACTGTCAATTTAACTTCCTGTTTATCCTCTAAAACCCAAATAAAAACTTTAGCAAGTATCACTGACTATTCTTAACCTGCTAAGCTACCAAAAGAAGAATAAAACGTCTTTCACGTTTCTCAAAATTAAAAGGAATTTAGGATTCAGCAATGTGAATAAATTGTGAGAAGGCTGTGCTATAACACATTAAATTCTAGCCTTTCAGCAGAATAGACCCAATACACTTTAGAAACTTAAGACTATAATTTGTGGCAGAGAAAGATTGAAGCTTCAGCCCAGTGGTATAATTGTTCCCAGTAATGAAGTGATAAAAGAGCATGTGTGGAACGATAAGGGCCTGACAGGATTCCAGCCCCTACCAGAGCTTGCAGGAATATGCAGTGATTTATACATCCACCAGGGAGCACAAAAGAGTTTCATGATTTAACATAGAAACTGTATTATATAAACCTCATTTGAATTGTATGATCAACTAAACAATATTTAAATATGTAGTAAAAACATCTTGAAACATTCTGCCAAATTTATTTGTATGCTTGCACACATTTTTGTAATGATTATTATTAGTTAACCAAGAGGTTAGAGAGGAAGAAGTTTCTATAAAAGGTAGGGGGAAATCCCAAAATCAGGCACCTCAAGACAACAAACTCAATCCTTTCCCTTACCAACAATCAGTTTTTTGGGAACAATGTGAGGTCAAGACTAGCATTATGCATTCCAGTGGAAAATAAAACATAACAAGACTGGACAAAACGTGTGCAATGCAACAACAAGGGGAAGTGAATCTAAATATCCCCCAAAAAACTGAAAACAAACAGAATGAGTGTTCTAGAATAGTGCATATTGAAACACTAAGAGACGGGCAGCAGAATGAAGACTAATACAAAGAGAGGTAGAGACAGTTTAAGCCTATTAAACACTGGTGCTCTGATGATGAGTCATATCAAAACAAGAAATGGGGGAAGTAAAATTAAACGAGAAAAAAAATGAAAGCATAAAATAAAATAACCAATTCAATCAGGGGTAAAAATAACATTTACCACTAAGTTTACCATCAGCACAACATGGCCAGGATCATAATGCTGCAAAAAAGAAACACCAATTGGTTAAGCAGGAAGATTGAGGCACAAAGAGAGCGTTCAGGGGTAAGGGGTAAAGGGTTAGGGGTTGGGTTTGGGGGCAGGGGCTTTGGTGTACCCCCTACCAATGGCCCTGGGTGATTACAGGGATGCCCTCTCACCATCCTTGACACTTCTGCTCTCCTTATTTCTGCTTATTTGTGGTACTATCATTTCATGCTTTTGGATTCCTCCACAACAAAGCAAAGAGGAGACAGAGTTACTAATTTAGCACTTTTAATATTGTTTTTTTTTTTTTTTTAGATGAAAATCTCTCTCATTTCCCCTCTCTTGGTTGATTGTCTTTCAACAGAAATGTACCAATCATCACTTATTCAAATAAAAGTGCACCCTCCTCCCCATTTCCCCCCTTTCTCCAATCCCCCATGCGGGTCTAAGTCTCCGCGTGAATGTGTTTCTGATACAGAGAGACCATCGTATGCATACTTCATCAAGTAGCTGCACAAGCTATGAGGAGCATACGCAGTGAGTGAGCTTTTAGCAGTGCATCGTTCTTGTTTTATTTGGAGTACTAAATCTCTTTCAGAGCTGTTTTCATCTTGCCATCAATCTAGAATCAATTCCAATCTGATTTGAATTCTCATGCGTTGCTTAAAACTCAGCTTCACAAGTCTGGGTCTCTTCAGCCAGCATGCTCTGCAGGAGAGGGGGAAGGAGATGGGTCAGGTCAGGTGAGGCTTTAACAAGTACAATTATACGAGGAAAAGTGGGATGCAGGTGGGATGGTGTGAAGACTTCTCCCTGCAAGCTAAAACACCTGAGCCCCAACCCCTCGTTTTGGTGACACATACACACACACACACACTCTCAACACATACAATTTCCACTCCCACATGTACCACATGTGTACATTCACTTCACAAAAGTGGACGCAGGCAGATAGACCGATCGAAGGCGGAAGGAGGGGGAGAATGGGCAGGAGATTGAGGCTCATTCTGGCAAGCCATTCCGGGGAATCATGGGAAAGAGGCAGAATCATGTTCACAGCCAATCAGAGGGCCCCATCTCATGTTCACAGCCAATCAAAACACCCCCGTTGCAGCCAAACATACATTAAACTAATATATACAAGTACTATTCTAACATGGGTGAATTCTGAACACAATCAGGAGGGGGAAAAAATGGATAATTTCTACAATATGTTTACTGATTCCATTTTGGTATGAGTTTCAAATCGTTGCACTGGTATTTTGAGCAGAGAGCGTTTAGTGATTGTAAGCGTATAGAGAAGAACTAAGAGAAGCCGTTAGGCTACACTGTAAAAGGGGGAGAGTTATTATGTATTATTTCAAGAAAAAAACATCCACACACACACGCACACTTACTCAAACATACACACAAACATACAGTTGGGGAGGTCCTACAAACCTTACCTAAAAAAACAAGAGTAAACAAAAAAGAAAGAAGAGTAAAAAAACAGAGTCAATACAATGGAAACTCAAAGCATTGGGGAGACATTTCAGTAAATGCACACTCAGTACCAAGGCTCGGTCCAAAAGTTAAAGAGGAAAGGAAAAGGATCAAAGTTTCAAACACCATGGCATGTGCACCAGAATGCGTGAACAGACATTTTTGTTTGTGTGTGGGTTGGAGTGTGTGCGAGTTTATGCAGTCAAGCGCTTTGCACCAAACGTGTGTTCTTTTAAATGCCTCATTTCCACTGAGCTGTACAGTTCAGTACAATACAGTTTGGGTTCCTTCCTTGGTGTATGGCAGAAAGTTAAGATTGACAGCTCAATAAAGCCACAGGTACTGTACTATTGTGATAGAAAGTGGTATGGTTTGCTACTTTTGATACCTTTGACAGTGAAAACATACCACACTGTGCCGCTCAGAGGAAGTTAGCCATAAGAGTTACAAACATGACAACTTGACTGGGTCAAAACACAAATTTGCCAGTCTGTTTGTTCAGATAGCTTGACATTTGGCAAAAGTGATGTGTGTGTAATTTGGTGGCACACTTTCCACAAGCTCTCACTCTGGCCCTTCAATCCACTGCATGCAAGATGGAACTAATCAAATTCTTGTAGCTCCAGGATCTGATCTGGAAAATCTCTCACTGAAAACAAAGGCAAGACACTCCCTGTCTGCCCGGTGTGTCAAACACAAACAGTACGATAATAGAATGACAACCAAGAAAGGACAAAACTCTGATCTTGAAAATCTCTTGCCAAGCTGCAAAACAGATGGGCGAAGCCAGTGAGTACTGGAAACATTCCTAATCTGTCACACACTTCACTTGGCTGGGATGACAACCTCTGGCTATGGCTACTTCCTCTGAGTTCTCACCACTGCCAGTTCTAAGAAAGCAGCCAATGGAGTATGAGGTGCTTCCGCAAAGGTCAAAAAGAGAGTGGTTTTTTTTTTCTGGTTTCTGGCGTCACCACTTAGGGAAGCACCATCTCTGATGGAAGTAGTGGTAGCAGTAGAATTTTAAGCAATACAAGGAGCATAACAATGCTTTTATTGTGGTTTTATTGTTGCATTAAGCATCCTTATGGGCAAATAACCCCCTTCTACAGAAACTTGTGAATATGAGGGTAAAACAAAGGAGAGATTTTAAAAGCGCCTCTGATTTAAAAAGTTACGGCTAAAAATGCTAGTTCTGCTAGTTGATAAACATTCTAACAGAAGAGAGACTGCTGTTCAAAAGTAGGTAAGACTTGCTTTTGAAAGAAAAAATCTTAAGGCTGAGGCACATTAGAGGTCAATTATCCTGTTTCATATTATATTTTTAAAAAGAAAACTATGAAAATAGGACTGCAGCGCTTGTTTACCATTTTGAATATAATCAAATAGTTTGGGAGGTAAGCAACTCAGCCACTGGAAAGAACAAAAACAGATATGATGCCTTTCCAGTCATGCACACTGAGCACTGAATTAAGATGTTGGGCTTCTACATAATGCTGAGTTCAGCATTTGAACAGCAAAGCTATCGTAACAGCTGCAGGGCAGCGGTCGTGAGTGTACAAATGCACGCAATAAAACTAGTCTCTAGAGAAAGACTCTCATACTCGCCTAATGGGCCGCATGACCTTAAAAGTTAGCTGAAAGATCCCTTCACTGTTTACGTACAATAGAAGCCCAGAGAGAGCGTGTCTATCATATTCCTATCATTGATTTCGGTTACAGCAATTTCTCTTTCTATCAAAACCTTTCAGCTAAACCGATTTTCAAAGTCATCCTAACAAGGCAGATTGTCAGAAAGGCAGCTGGGCTTACTTTTCACCTTAGGTTGAGAACAGTGCGTACTGATTTACATGTGGGAAGATCAATTTACTGAAACATGAGGGGGTTTTCATTGCATTTCATGTTTTAGTGCAAACAAACAAATCCTCCCACACACTCCAAAGTTGTAGTGAGAAATAAAGGAAAAGAACAAAAGAAACATATCTATAGATCCTGAACATCTCAAATCTTTACTCCTCACTCAGAAGTCGAAACATTCTTTCAGGCTATAATTTGCTACATTTTGTCCTCCGTTTACTATAGCAGAAATGAACTGAAGAGGATGATGCATACTAGCATTCTTCAGTGTGTGATATGCTTCCTGCAGGCTTTGCAGAATGACTGCAGCACACATGTATCCTGCTGGGATGATAAGATACGTTTTAGAAACTGCGGATCAATTTCTTCATAGATTCCAGTTTGCCAATGTTTGCATCAGCATGAGGTAATGACTAACAACAGAACAGTCTATGAAGCTAACTTTACTGTCTGACCCCAAAGAAAATTAAAACACATACTCTGTCCTCTCTCTTTTAAACAATTGTTTTCCTTAATCAAATGATTTTACATAAGACAAATTTGCTTAAGGAAAGTCAAATATTAAATCTAACGCTCTGTATGGACAACACTGCCCTTTGAACAATGAGAGGCACAGTAAACTTCAAGAAAGAGTATGAATGTCATTTTACTCCCTCTCACACACGAAGACTGAATCACTGCATCAAGACAGCATCTCTGGTATTCTACAGGCCACAAGTCAAGTGCAGAGGACGAAGTACAAGGGGTGCTGGGAGAGGACAAAGGAGGGAGAAATAAACTGAGTTGTCTTCTTCAAAAAAAAAAACTACAAACTAAGAACAGTTGAACAATGAATCAATTAACTTGTTGAACTTGAATACATTTCTCGCATACAAAGATATGGTTAAAATCGTAGCATGTCGGTGTACAGTTTTAAATGCTAAAAACAATAATTGTTGTTAAAAGCACTATAAAATTAAACTTGAACTGAATTGAATGTTTTTATCTGATTTGATCAGTAGGACATTTTTGTTACTGTTTCTGCATTGCATGTGTCTATTTATATTCGAGATGTGCATGATTAATTAAGCAGTCTAGTCCTCCACCCTAAATCGACCACTTGGTTAGAACAAGCAAATTTAGTGTTTAATATTAACTTTTAATCAAGCCAGTGCCTTTTTAGGTCTAAATGCTTTAATAAAAGACATGTTATACTCTTATTGGTAATGTTTTTGAAGAAAAAAATATGGATTTACTTTTTTATAGTGATAGAACAGTATAGACTGACAGGGTGTAATGTGGGAGAGAAAGGGGAAACAGGATTGGGACCTCATTTTGGTCAAAGCACAACCCCAACCCTAACCACCTATATGTCAGAACACTGACTGATAATATTTACACAATTTGAAACCATTTTTAAAAAAAGACAAAAAAAAAGACAATAAAAAAACATAATTGACTATATTAATAGTGATCCACCAAATTTGTGAATACTGTGGTTGACATGTAAAATCAGCTCAATACTACACTTTGTGGAGAATAATTATAATACAAATAACACAAATAATAATAATTAATTTACAATTGAATTTAAAAAGCCTTACAAAATTATTGCATCTTATAAAATTTAAATTACAAAATATTTTCAGTTTCGATTTTCCGTTTCCAAGTGTATCCACAATTTTTAATATCTGCTCAATTTTAATTTCAGTGCATCCCTAGACATTACCTTATTGAACTGCTGTATATAATAATTACATCTGCAACTGTGGGAGTGGAACGGCTTAACATTCACATACAGAATTACAAGAGGAATTTGGGGGAACTAGGAATTGTTTTGGGGAATTTAACTGCATTCTAGATGTTAAAATGTGTAATATGAATGAATACTTGTTTTTATGTGAGTGTAAGAAACTTTGTGTTAGCTTTTGCCTCAATAAAGCAAGGATTACATTCATAGTGCACGCCTATATAGCTATTGCATATATATTATTACAAATATTCAATGACCAGTTAGACACAAAGAATCAAAAGTAGTCCACCTTTATCCAGATCAGGTTTTCAACTACTGAAACTGAACTTAATCATGACCAAACAGGGGCGTGTAAAGCAATCAATGCCTCTTTTTATGTGCTGCAGTACTAAACCACAAAATTACTCAAATGTCTATCTCTGATCTATATTTACTCTAGACCACAACACTAAAGAGGAAAGCTAGTGCACTCAGTGCTTATCTGGTACCACTGTACCAAATCCTTCCTATCCACCTCACCCTGTTAACATCACCACTACGTTACAAACTTTTTGTCAGTACAAAATAAGAAAAATAAATGGTGTGCTGGAACAACAGAGAGAGGGAGAGAAGTGAACAGAAAGAATGAAAACATTTTTACACCTGATCAAACCAAAAGGCATTGAAGCCTTTTGGGTGGATATCAGTAGAGAGAAAGAGTTTGAGAGATTAAGTTTGACAGAGAAGAGTGCTTGCTTACCCTGCATGGTTTTGCCCAGGCCTTGACCCAACTTCCAGCCATGTTTCTGAAGGAGCCGGTGCCCAATGTTATCCTGATGTAAGGAAGAGAGGAAAGAAAGACCACAATATTCCAATAATAAGAAGTGCTTTCCTCATACACACGTACACACACACACACACACACAAACACTCACACTCAAAAACAGGTGGTAGCCAGACAACTGTCAAAACAGCTTCACTCACAGTCATCAACATTAGAAACATCTGCTACACCTTTAAACTCCTTGTCAGATTGGGAGCGGAAGGGAAAGAGAGGGTGGAAGAAAAGAGGGAGATAGATAGAAAGAACAAGGAGGGAAAAGTCACTGGGCTCTGTAATAAGACATCTTTGAAGCCCTTACAGTCTAGTTGGGGATTTCTGTGCATAAGTAACTTGAAGTTAAATGGTCTTTATAGTCTAATATATCTATTTTTTTCTCTTTAAGGGAGCGTTCCTTAATAGTACAACTTGAAACAAGAGGCTGTAAATGCTACCGACATCTGAGTCTACCAATTTACTTTCAGTCTTAAAAGGAAATAAGGAGGAAGATACGGTTATATACGTATCATGACACACAAATACATATATAAACCGTCTCAGGGAGGGATATTAATACACAAACAGCTAAAGGGGAAGGAACGGCACAGACATAGAGCTTGCATACACAAAAACCAAAAACTTTCACAAGCTTTTTGTGAGTTCATTATCATGACAACAGAGCCACCACGAAAATAAAAATAAAAACATACAATATGTAGCTGAGAGCAAAGGGAGGAGATCGAGGAGTGAGACAATGAGAGAGGTAGATTGATAGATTTATGGGAGCGACAAAAAAAGAAATATGGAAAGACAGAGATGGAGGCCTCGGTTTACCATTAAGAGGCCAGATATGCATGTGTGAGAGCGTGTTTGCATTTAAAATTCTGATCTGATCAGTCACTAAAAACAAAATAGAAAAGAAAGTCTTGAAAATTTGATATGCATGAATATAAAAACAGAGCTTAAATTCATGACAAATCATGTCCAAGCATAAAGAAAAAAACATTGATAATAAAAAAAAGTGTGCACTAAAACAAAAAAAACACACACACGCACACACACCACAAATAAATTGCATAATATACAAAAAAACTGAAGGAAGTGAAAACCAAAACCATTAACCATCATGCAGCTTTTTGTTAAAGCACTTTAACAAAAAGAGACGGCGGTGTTAGTTGTGTTGAAGAGTAGAAAGCATATAAAGGGAGAGAGGGGGCAGCAGAGAGCTCAGGATGTTGTTAGAGATGAGGCCGAGCATACACTGGTGATGCACAATGTCATCTAAACAGATGTCCCAACCTACATGGGTGAGCGTAAGATGGAGCAGCCATAAGTGGTGTGTGAGAAGCAAGAAGGACTAGGTTAGAGCATCATGGGTAAGGAGAGAGTGGTTACCCCCAAAACACACACCCGCTTTTCATTATCGCTGCAACTCCCATAAAACGGTTTGGGCAATTTGGAAGGTGAATGCTGTGACGACAGCTGTGAATACACATTTAATAAATTTGAAGCCACTGTTCTTAGAGTCTGTCATTAGAGAACCACAAGGGCTTTAAACAAAAAAATAATAATAATAATAATTACCTCAAACAGCAAAACGTTTATTTTCCTTCTATTATGATCGCAACTGGGATTTGATCCATTTTTTTTTACATTTGTTTAATTGGTTATTTTAACAGACCTCCTGAGATGTACCTAACTTGCTTAAGGCTTGTAAAGTATGAAAATTAGATTTTAGAATAATTAGTCTGACCTATATTTTTACTAGAATATTTTCTAGTTAATAGTGTTGGGTTAATTAAAAAATAATTATGGGTTTCAGTGGTATTAGATTTCAGTACACTAAATGGAAAAGAACGCTGTCCAAAGGGGACATAACAAAAGTATTCAATGGTACTGTTCTGTCCATCACACTGAATACTTCAGGTTGTCTTATTGTTATACTTCAATTTGCAAGCCTGACTTGCATAGCTTCTATGTAAACTTTTGTCATTCCATCCCATGGTCCAAACAATTGTTTTCAAGATCAAGTCATCATCTTTAAATGATGAACAATGTCATCTGTAGCTTTAAATTGCACGGGACCTTTATTTTTCAGCACATTCTGACTGGATGTTAGTGTTTTATTATTTATTAGATAGAAAAAATGTTGTTTTGAAAGATATCTATAGTATCGTGTCTCTTCTATTGTTATAGCTGTGTTCTGAATATTATTGTTTTACATTCACTACATCGTCTGCATTGTTATATTTGATGATTCATTATTTATTTATTACTTAATCATGCTTTGTGTGAATGGCTCTTAACTTTGTATATTAAAAATTAGATATATTTTTGTAAAAAAAAAAAATCGAATCATTATTTATGGTGTCAATAAGCACAAAAATCCATCATTTAAAAACTGTTCTGATCGGTCCTAAACAAGAAAAAATTCTTTAATTTCAGTAATATGCTAAATTAACTTTGGAATTAAATCCATGCATATTAATATCTACCTTTATATCTCTGCTCAGAAATTTAGTTAAAACCTGTGTTTTTGCATGCGAGGAGATGAAAAAAGTAAATGTTTCCTCCAGATGGTTAGTGCATGGGGAGCTGCACTAATGCTCATCTTGTACAAAATCCCCTTTGGGCCCCTGGACATCCAAACACTTCTGTGCATGTTCTTCCGTTCAAATTACAGGGATGAAAAAAAGAACAAGACCGTAGGATAACGATCATTTCCTTTTCTGTATTTATAGTTAGCAGAGGACGCCATGGAGCTCACATCAAAAGCGGCATGAGTCCATTTGTAGCTTGTGTAAAGAAATGTTGATGGTAGAAAAGAATTCACCATAAAACGTGTGAGCTCATTGTGCAGAGAAGTAAGACCGCAGGACTAAAAGAGCGCAAGTCCCAAGATCTTCCGTTTATCAGCAGTGCAGATGCGCCTGCAGTAAGCCCAGCCCAAAAGGCCTGCAATGCAGTGGCTCTGCAGCATCCTCTGCTAACAACACACAGCATTTCATCATTCTGTGGACTGGAAGAGCATCTAAACAGGGCGCGCATTGTGCTGACCTTACATTACCTCTTCCTGCCGAGCAGAGCAATTTATATAGCAGTCGTCAACTCCTCTTTCTCAAATGAGAGACCATTAGATCTAGAGAATCTGAACTTGAGAAAGAGAGCTGTCATTGTTTAGTCTAATTCTTCAACGTGAGCCAATCAGAATCATTCAAAAGTGGCTCAGGGCCTATCACCGACCCTGTGAATGGAGAATCAGGCAGACGTGAAAGGCGGGTGGGTTTTGTGGGGACAAACAGATGAATGCACTAAAATAAAACAGACAGATGAAGAGCAACAACGCTGAAGAATCCAACAGCAGTGCAAGTGGAGTGAAAACATGTCCATACGAACCTGGCTTTTAAACCCTGGGCTGTCAAAAGAACAGTCAAACGTCACACAAAACTGAAGAAACTGGCCAATCTCTACAGCTTTCTACTGGTCACACTGTCTCTTTGATCCACTACATTACCACAGTGAATTCACACATCTACACATCCACTAACTGGCAGTTAATTCATATAAATAATTAAAACATAAGGAATGTTATATTGTCCAAACAGATACACTCCCATAAGAAAAGAGAGATAGAGTGATGTTATTAACATAGTAAGGGCAGGGAGTAAGAGAGGGAGAAGGAGGTGGAATTAAATTAAAACAGGACAGAGATGTGCAGGGCAGTGAGTGCATTTGCAGTGCATATAGGTCTTTATTACATATTCGAGACAGCTTCATTAAGAGTGACCTGAAATTGAGTCTAGAAGAATGACTTCATAGTAATTTTGACCTGAAAATGTTGGAAATTTACAGCAGCTTCAAAATAAACAACTATTTCTTCTTTTCTAATCCTTCTGTGCATTCAAAATGTAGAGTCTACTAAAGTATCTGCACATTAGATTTACCTGAGGACTTTTCTATTATGCTGGTAAGAACCAACTTAATGTATTATCTATCTACATCATGAACTGATGTCTAAAAGCTGGGACCCACCAAGCTAAATGTCAGCCATCGCCTGTCAGCGTCAGTCCAGCCTGTTTTTTTCGTGTTGCACATGTCTCCGAGTTAACGTCGAGTTAGATTGAATACAAAATTTTAAAACATGAAGCTCTCTTAACAGTCCTAATCTTGACAAGTACACAGTAGCCGCTTTTCCACTGTTGAGCCAGTATGAGCTTGCAATTTTATCAGGCCGGGCTAATAGCCCCACATCTAGAGCAGCAAGACTGCTAGAGAGTCAATAACTTGCAGTGCAGCAGAAACCCTGCTTTGTATTCTCCCCCAATTTAAATATCACACAACAATTGGAAATATTTTCTGTGAGCACAGCTCTGACCATGAATATTAATGTCTTTACTGTGCCCACAACTTTAACTTTTCCTGCACTTGTACTATTGACTTCCTACTTCTTATTCAACTGGCCAGTACATACATGGGCAACTGCATCTTGCCACAGAACCTCTATTCCCGACTTAGGCATACTCTGCCTTTGCTTTCACTCCATTCCAATGCCCCAGCTAGTCCCCTTTGGATTAAGGTATTAGGCTGGCCAACAAGGTCTGGTCATTTGCCCCAAGGAAGCCCTGACGAGACTTGATCAGTCCCCAGAAGCTACTGGAGAAACGTGACAGGCACACTTGCTTTAGGGGTGACAATGGAAATGTGGCTAGTGTTCAGGGTACATACATGGCTATAATAGCAGAAATGAAAGCTGCTGCTTTGTGTATTATCTATCCTTTAACATTCTTATTTAAATTGTGCAAACTTATTTATGAAGATCAGAAAAGGCCTATGTGTATACCAACAGGGGCATCTGAGAAATCAAGAAAGTGGTCAAAAATGGACTAAAATAAGGTATCAAAAGGAATGTTTATCCCTCATCGACCCGTGATCTAACTACTGAAATTAATTTTCAGGTTATTAGCAGCTGATAATGAAACTATCCTCCATACCATGCTTTATAGAAGCATGTGGAGCACTAAAAGGTCAGTTGAGAGTCAAAACAATCAACAAGACAGAGAGATAAGAGTGGGAGAGCGAGACCACATTAAAGTGGAGTGACAGGATACCCAAGGTGGTTTGTTTGGGGACCTGGACAGCTGGTGTTGTCCCAATGTGGTTATGGAAGAGGAAAGAGAGAAATCTAACACATTCCCTTCCTTTTTGCCTGAAGGTGAATATTTCTTAGAACCAAATGGAGTGCAACAGTGGTGCTTTTTAAAGAATAACTCACTTATTTTTATTATGAAAAGAGACCATAAATTAATTTGTACAGTTAGCTATACTTAAGTGTCTGAGTGTCACAGCAGGAGACAAGCAAAAAAAAAAAAATCCAATTTGAGATTTAAAATGTCAATTAAGTACTTTGGAAGTACTCTTATTACTTTGATATACTCTTAATCGTTTTGCAAAGATGCAAAAATGCATGTTATAAATAAATAGCACTTTTAAATGGCCGTTAAAACAGTGTGGCTGATTGGACTATTTGTGTTGTGACCAAAAAAAGTGGACAGAATAGGGTCTACAGGTCAGGGTTCTTAAAATGGCAAACCTTGACCTTTTTCATCAGAACATTCCAGGGTTTACCTTTCACACAGAAGTTTATCAACAGCTTCATTAAAATATGTGTGTGTGTGCATGTGGTTGCAATGCTGGACGGTGTGAAGTAAGTCTTTGAAGAATGCATGGGCTAGTTCCTGACATGTTGAGTGATACACAGTTGACCAAGGGATATATAGAATCGTAAACACCAGTGGGATACGTTTACAAAATCAGTATTTAGATTTAGAGGCAATTTATTTATACCGTTATAGATATAAATACAAATAACTAAAATCCAGTCTTGCAATCCTCACTGCACAATAAGCAGTGACTTAAAGTTTTAATAAAACCTGCCAACAATTAAGATATTGTTATGAATGCTCCTATGTTTAAACACATTTGAAGTAAACAGCTATTTCTTGCAGTGTAACACAGGACTGGAAATGGTATCTCGCATTCTTTCCATGTATCATTCATGGTGCATTCTAAACTTGCTAAAGTGAAACATCGAAGTCAGTTACATACCAAGGGAATTGACTCAGTCACTGCCCAGTGCACATCTCCTTGGGTTGGGGAGGGGAGAAAAGAAGATGAAGGTTGGGGTACATATTAGGATGAAGGGGAGTGTGTGTGAGAAAAAAACTAATGCTACTGACTTAACATGCAAACAGACAAAAAGGTGTTGAGGGAGCAAGGAAAAAGAGGTATGAGTAGATGAAAGCACATGGGAAAATAAAAGATCCTGTTTACCACAGACCTCTAGCTGCCTACAGATCACACACAATGATTGGCAGAGGAGGGGCATGGGAAACGAGAGCATGACAAACACAGTGCTCGAACCCAGAACGCGCGCACACATACATGCGGCGATGGCTGTCACTGTCCACCCGGACCAGCTGCTAAGAGTTCTGTGATAAAAATACACCCCTGGTGTTTGGTGAAAAATAGCCCTGACACACTAGATCTAAAACAGGAAAAGGGAGGGCAAATAAACGAAAGCTTGTTTGTTGTTGTGTGTTTGTCTAAACATTATGACTCTATAATAAATTTAAAAATGTTCAGACAGTGATAGCCATCGTTTTCTGCGGTATGAAGCATCTCTGCTTTCCACAAACACTGTGTGTGGCGACTCAGCTCTCCACACCCCTCCATAGACAATAGTGCAGGAGCTGGAATCATTTGGTTTAGGCAGGCAGCCAGGCCACCACTCCTGCTCTCTGTCATGTCCTTCTGACACACGCTCTGAGACGGGTACTGCTTCAAACAATAATGAATCTAATCATAAGACCCACTTGAGAAATCTTAGTTAAAAAAAATGGATTTTGAAAAATCATAAATGCATAGAAGCTTGTTTTAAATAACAGAAAAATTTACATGGTTATATGATTTAAAGTTATACTCATGGTCTTAAAAGCTAATTATATGGTAAAAGTATGACAGAACTTTAATATGTCCAATGTGACACTCAACAATAAAGTTTATTTAATTTTTTAATGGCCCATGGCACTCATTCTTCTTTCTATTTATATATAAACAAAATGAATGAAAAAAATATATACATAATTGTACATATTAGGCCTGTCACAGTAATCAACATATCGACTTATTCCACAACACACAGACATGACCTCAATAATTATTGGTGATGCAATATACATCAACCATACATAAAAAAAAATCAATTGTAGCTACATTTTAGCTGCAACATCTGTCTCTTTTGAAGGTGTAAGTAAATATGGTTGATGGTTAATAAATAAATACTTATATTATTTATTATAAAATTACAACAGCACATTTCATATGGATGTCTGAAAACTGAAAATAGATCTGTTCGCAGCCTTTGTTACTGTTTACCTTGCACTTTTTTCTTAACGTTTATTATTATTTATTTAGGATATGCATTTTTACGTTCTGATTCCAATGCCTAATTACTGAACTGTTAAAATTATTATAATAAAATGAAATATTCTTAAGAATAAAATATGAAGTGTTCTTTGGAAGAGTGTACATGCAATATTGTTTTAGGCATAAAATGGCCTTAAAATGACAATAATAGAGCAATTCCAGCGTTATGAATGTGACATTTGCAGTAAAAATTTAACCCATGAATTCACAGAGAAGTATATGTTAACTTTATATTGAAACATCTATTTATATTTTCCAGAACTAACCACGGAGTTAGGGAATGAGAAAAATATCAATCTGCAAACATGTCTGTGAAAAATTCTGTGAATTAAACTGAACAACCCAAAAGAAACAATACTGAACAATAGGATAGGAGTCGGTTCTCTAAAGAACAAAATGATTGGTTTTATTTTAAGATTTTGCATTTATGAGGAAAAAGCTTCATTATGGATGTGACATCTTTTGTTATGGATGTGACAGATGTTCAATTCAATTCAATTCAGCTTTATTTGTATAGCGCTTTTACAATGTAGATTGTGTCAAAGCAGCTTCACATAAATGGTCATAGTAATTGGAACAGTGTGGTTCCAATTAGTGGTTCCAATTAATGGTTCCAATCAATGTGAAATTGGCACTTGTGTAATTTTGGTAAATTAAATATAATTGTTTGAAAACATTAACAGAGGCATTTGAGTATTTCTAAAGTACTGTAAAATACTTGCTTACACAAAAAACTTGGAAACGGTTTCGTATTTTGGTGAAGACTTAATTTTTTTTTATGGCAAGGTTGACATTTCATAAAATTGCTCAATATCGCTTATCGCAATATATTTTGGTGCAATATATCGTATGACAAAATATAGATATTGTGACAGGCCTACATATAATAGTGTGTTCAACTTGGT